GATCAGTTTTACACATTCGAGATTTCCTTATCGCTAAGGTTACAGTCCAGTAATCTACAACAGTAACCGACGAAAAGTTTTTGAAGTGGAAAGTCATGCGACACAGACGGCATCCACACACCATGCTCTCAATGAACGACATTGTTATTAAAAAAATATCGTGTAGTAAACTATAAGCCCACTAGCCAATGCGAAATGAGCAGCAAGATGAAGGCTGCTCACCTCCCCGTGGTTTAAGTCTATCCGAACGACGAAACGACTAGCGTGGGAGTTTAAAACAAGTTCCATCATATCTACATCTGCCAGTGCGATTTCTACGGAGTCGGTATGTTGGAGGTCTAATTACCATTACAAAAAACTTATTATCAAAACGTTGTATGTGTGAAGATACACTTGGATTTTTATATTCCATGATAAACAACAACATGAGTGTAGGTATATGATGGGGATCACTAAGCGACAGACTGTATACTAATTTGAATGGCTCACCGTGAAGACATATTCACAAAATTTTCCAGTGATTATCTTGCAAGTTAGAAACATGTCGCTTCTGTGTTACTTGCAATGGGACTAAACTTTGGCGTTCATAGCCAAGAATGTGATTACTTCCATGGGAGGTCTTACTTTTCGATCTAATCGACTATGTCGAAGTTATAGCTACCTACTCGTTCGGGTTTAAAAAAGCAACAGTTCCTTGACTATACTAGCTACAATCAACAGGAGGTTGAACATAGTATTAGCGTAAACTTACCCGGTAGCCAAACTGTTAATTGTTTATAAAACATGTTCACTAACCCAATCACGGGTCGACAAACATCCCTTTAATGTTACCGCCAACCGCGTATCTAGTCTTACGTGTACCTGCCAAAGCAGCTACACTGACCGAACAGAAAGGAGGGCATATTTTTGAATATGTTCCATAAAGCCCTGTAACAAGAGAATGTGTGGTAGTGCTGGTTCATAACCACACGATTTATGAAGCTGAGCGTATGATTACTGAGGAGGTTTACATTCATTGTATAACACTACTTACGCCTGTTACCCACAATGGAGTATAGGCTGCTGACCAGTATTCTCCAACCCATTCTATCCTGGGCCTTACTTCTAGCTCCATCCAGTTGTTGTTCATTCTTCTCATGTCTGTTTCCGTTTCTCCGCCCAGTGTCTTCTTTGGTCTTCCGCTTTTCCTCTGACCTTCAGGATTCCATGGGAGAGCTTGCCTTGTGACACAGTTGGGTGTGATTTCCTCAATGTGTGTCCTATTCACTTTCAGCACGTCTTCCTGATTTCTTTCTCCACTGGAATCTGGTTTGTTGCCTCCCACAGTAAATTGTTGCTGATAATGTCTGGCCATCGGATCCGAAGTAATTTGCGTAGACAGCTGTTAATAAACACCTGTATCTTCTAGATGATGGCCTTCTTAGTTCTCCAGTTTTCCGCCCCATACAGTAGAACTGTCTCGACATTTGTGTTGAAAATTCTGACTTTGGTGTTGGTTGACAGTTGTTTTTAGTTTCAGATGTTCTTCAGTTGTAGGTATGCTGCTCTTGCTTCGCCGATTCTCACCTTCATATCTGCATCAGATCCAGCGTGTTCATCAATGATGCTGCCTAGATACGTACAGCCTCTTACATCCTCCAAAGCTTCTCCATCAAGTGTGATTTGATTAGTGCATGCTGTGTTGTATCGGAGAGTTTTGCTTTTCCGTTTGTGTATATTGAAATCTACTGTTGCTGAGGCTGATGCTACATTGGTCGTCTTCTCCTGCATTTGTTGTTGCGTTTGTGATAGAAGAGCCAGATCATCTGCGAAGTCTAGATCATCCAGCTGCATCCCAGCTGTCCACTGTACCCAATGATTCCCCCATATGCCGGCGTCTTCATAATGCAGTCGCTCACCAGGAGAAAGAGAAAGGGTGGGAGTAAGCAGCCTTGCATGAAACCGGTCTTTACTTCGAATGAGTCAGTGAGCTATCCTCTATGTGTGATTTTGCGGTTTAATCCATCATAGGAATTCCGTATGTTATTGACTGTCTTCTCAGGCACACCGTAGTGTCGGAGTAGCCTCCATAGTGTTGTCCTGTCCACGCTACCGAATGCTTACTCGTAGTCAGTGAAGTTGATGTAGAGTGATGAATTCCATTCATTTGATTGTTTCACAATGATCTGTAATGTTGCGATCTGGTCTGGGCACGATTGATCCTTGAGGAATCCAGCCTCTTAATGCAGAAGTTAGACGTCTAATCTAACACTAAGAGCAGGTTCACAACGGTGAACGTGGCCACAGTCAATCGACATGTCAAAGCTTGGTTATGCAGGTGCGGTTATCCTGTATAAACCTCTTGGTTTGTGTATAAAATATATTACTCTATTCCTAACTCAAATGTGTTCTTCAGAAATTCTAGACGTTACATTGCTGATCGCTACTGCAGGACGAGTCAGTGTGACCTTCATGTGAGATCGTATAGATTATTTGATCACATCATGATAAACCCACAATCTTGGGGTTAGGTCTATTATTATGGTAGTACTAATACCGAGGTAGACTATGTTTTTACGAAAGGACGATTTTAAACAGCGCAATCACTAAACATCTTTTGGGTTTAAGACATCAGTCCGATGCCTTGTAGTCTTTCAGAATGATTAGTACGTATCTCAGACCAAGTGTTCTAACGTTTGCTGAATCCGTTGCTATCAGTCTTTAAAACCCTGATTGTGTGTTCCAAAAGGAGATGGTTATTAATATTCTCTTGTCTTGGTGACAAATATGTCTTCGTTGCATCATGAAAATTTCTTAAAACTCTTTCACTTGATTACATCACTATGTATTTTGTTTTGACGGTCTTCTGGACAAGTGATCTTATTTTATCACCCGAGCTTTTCTCATTTTTAATCTTATCAGCGTTTACTCATTACGTAACAACTTGTTTGTAGGCTTTGGGATCCCTATTAGAGTTAATGTTGTAGAATGTCTTTTATGTATGGGTACATATTTAAGATATTCTATTCAGTTTATAAAATTTGTTCACACCCTTGCTATACTATACCGATGTGTCTTTAAAGCAACTTCCAGTTAAACTCTATCATTAGAGTGAAATAAATGTATTTTGTGATTATGTTTTTAGACATCCCAGGTTGTAAGAAGTGGCGAGGACCAGGCAAAATAAAACGAATTCGTGCTATTCCGCTAAGATCTTTGTTCTTGTTTTCTTCAAGAAGATAAGGGGAACTATGTGTATGAGATTTAGTGATTCTTTCACTGTACTTATAGACCATATACTATTACCAGTTTTATTCTGCGGATTCCGTGTATATATTATACACTATTAATATTTCTATCGAAGTCTCTAAATCATACAGTTAAACTTAGGGTTATCTCATCATCACACATTTGGGAATCTACGATCAACTTTCACATTCACTGTCTATATACAAATGAAATTGGATTAAGATTAAAAATCCTCCAATTCAGAGAGATAATACTCAGAAACTATTAAGTTACTTACTTGTGTGAAGCTTGAGTGGCCAGTGATATGTACAACGACGGGTTTTACCATAGTGATTTCAGGCTGCTGCAAACTAAATAATGTTAATGTTAAGGTTGCACTTTACAAAACCTACGTTAAACTGACTAAGATGATCTCAAGGTGGATCTTGAAAATTATAATGACTGAATGAATACGACTCTTTTGGCGCAGATGAATGACTGAATATAGGGAAACGTTCTTACAGTCGATCAAGTAAGTCATCCATACATATCAGCCACACATTATATCCTCCAGCTGTGATTACAAGATCATTTGAATTGGGTCACAGATTGTATAGTAAACGACTCATTAAGTGTTCCGGAAAAGTCGTGAAGGACAGAAATGACTGTCAGGTTCGTTTAACAAAACTCGTGAAGGGCAACAACCCAACAAGAACAAGCACGTCACACTCATTAAACATTCTGCATTCAGATTCATTACTAGTAAATAGACTAACAAAGGTGTTGCTAAATTTTTCGCTAAAGAACTCTACACAAAACTAAACGCCATATCTACCCAACCTATTCCATATCGGACTGATGAACGTGTATTTTGTGCCATTAAAAGCCAACGATTATAAGGCTCTTGAAAATATGTATTAATCCGCACGTTTGGAGGAAGTTTGACTAAGAGTCCAATAAATATATGAAGATCTAGTTCGCTATCCTTCCGTCCCTCTCTTCCAGTGCTTAAAAATCCATGGTTAACAGCTTTCTGACTAGAAAAACGTATATTTGAATATACGCGAAAGTCGCAAAAGTATGAGATACCAGCAACAGGTCAGTTCTCTTATCTTCCGAAATAGTAGGTGTTAAGCAGTTAAAATGACACAAACGTGTTTGCCAAAACTGTTCAATCCACCTGAGTCTTTCAGATTTCCTTAACACATTTGACCTCTTAAGTTGGACAGGAATAGTGTGACTCAACTTTCATCGAAGTCACATCTCGAGGTTAATATCAAATGTGGATTATCCTTCTTTGGTATCGGAGTACTGTGGTCACTTTGATGATCGTATGAAACAAATGACGTTACGAAAGAAATTTGATAATAAGAATAGGTTGGAGGAGCAAAATGCAACCGCTGCTTCGTGGCCCAGTCCATAGTGTTAGATTAATTACTGAACGTTGGTCATCATTGAATTTGGTTATGTTTAACGCTCAGTGGTCTGTCGTCCAACATAGAAGTGGTTCAACCTGATGGATGATTTGGCTAGATCTCAGTGACATTTCACTGACCCTATATGCATCAGCACTAAATTGCACCCGAGATTACTTCAAAGTAGAACACGAATGAACACACAAACACATGAAATTCAATAAAAACTTACCAATCTTTTTAACAGCTAAGAATTGCTGAGGAGCAAACACAGAAAAGCTAATGAGTTCGCACTAACTCACCATAAAGTTAGTGGTAGAACTGAATTTAAACAGATTCCTACATCAGTCTTTAAAGTTGGTCTGATTATACGACCTTGAGGCGTTTAGTTAACCGATTCGGGCGCTAATCACAACTTGCTTGTATTCCCGTGATAAGTTCAGAGATTTTATATGGTACCTCCTACTAAACGTAAGGCTTTTAATGGACAGGTAAGGTTTTTAGATTCACCAGCAGTCGGTCTCTACTTTAGAAACTCAAACCAATCATAAAGTTGCTGCGTTCTCGTGAATTAGGCACGAGTCAGTACATTGGTACGGGTCAGATACCAGAGTCTTCATCTAAGTTCCCATTCGTGTGGCAAAGACGCAGTCTGAATCCTGGCCATAGAAATAAAATCTTCGCTTGCCAGTGGATTACCAATAACCATGTTGTCTATGGTACAAAATGTAACAATTTAGTTGTATATGACTGCACCTCAAATGAAAGCTTTAACATTCCTTTGATAAAATCACCTACTCCGTATGGAAATTATATTCCTAATGTATCAATATTTTAGATCCGCAAATCAAATTAACCCTTGTGCTTGTGGCATTCATTCCATACAACTCAATACATCGAAAACTTTCATTGCTACAGGGGGAGATAATGTCAATCATATCGGAGTCTATAGATTGTCGGAATTTTCTCCTCACTGTTTACTTTGCGTAAGTCAAAGCACGGTATTGTTAGATCTCATAAACTTTATACTTCAATAAATCTCTTGTTCTGAACGGTGATATGATTAGATATGAGTTCACATTGATGAATTCTGGTCACTTTAAACTACATGCAGACTTACTAAGCTGTCTTCACCGTAACAAACTGGTAGTGATAAACGTCAGATTACGTGGCCGGAAATCAGTTAAGATGAGGGTGACTCATTCGCTATCCATTTGAATTTTTCTAAAAAATCTATTGCATTTATTGATCAACGGGTTCTTGTACTCAACTTAGAGACACGCTTTATGTATGGGGGCTAGTCATTAATACCCTGCTGCCGAGAAAAAATTAGCTGAAATAGGAGTTAAAGTTCGGACCTGGTGGTTGGAAGTCGAGCGAATCTACCATTACGTCTCCGCCATCAACGGTTGCTGCATGTTAAAGGTCTCAACATAAACACAATGCGTTTATCCATTTTATGAAGGATAGGGAGTGAAGTAGTCGAACGCGTCGAAAACTTCACTTATCTTGGAAGTCTGATCAGACCTAATGGGTTGGTTTATGACGAAGTCTCTACACGGATTCAGGAAGCTCTTTTGGCTTTTTTCAACTAACATCACCTATGGCGAAGGCGAGTTATCCGTCTATCAATTAAGTGACGAGTATACTACGCAGCAGTTCGCTCTGTTCTACTTTACGACTGTGAAGCATGGCCATTAAGAGTAGAAAATACTCGTAAGTTACTAGTCTGATCACAGATGTCTTAGAAATATTGCTCACATCTACTGGGATCACCGGGTAAGTAATAGTGAGGTTAGACACAGGGTATTAGGGAATGATGATAAATCAGTTGATGAGGTTATGAATATTCATTGACTGAGATGATTGAGCCACATGTCACATATGCTTGAATATCGATTACCATGACGTGATATGCTGACTTGTATTGGGGATGGTTGGAAGAGAGTTAGGGACGGCCAAACCAAAACATGGCATCAGTGCTTAAAGTCACTAACTTCTAGTCTAAGCAATGTTGGTAGATGCAGACTACTTGGTTGGGGTCTGCGCGACTATCGTAACCAATGGTTGGTGAATGTGACATGGCTCAGAATCGAACACAATGGCGTAGGTGTATACACTCTTCGTTTTCCCTTAAACTATGAGATTAAAATTACTTCACATCCTTATATACAACCTTTCTTTTATATATTAAGACCATTAAATTAACTACTATGAATTCGGTGTTCATTTTGTTGTGCTAACGTGGTGTGACAACCTGGAACGACGCATATATGTGCCTGGTCCTACGTTGTAGCTGACTGACTGATCCATTTTATGAACCTACTAAGGAAATCTGACCTTTCTAACTAGAGACTCAGAGGTCTTTACAAACCAGAAGAATTCAAATTACATAGAAATAGTGCGCATCCGCACAGTGTTCTTCGTTGCTTCATTTGCATGTGCGTCGCCTAAATCGATCAGCATGTCGGTACATTCCTATAGGTAAATAGTTGAAGGTGGCAAATAGTTTTCACATTTTGTTGATTATACCTTTATGTACTTCAAAGCTGGACATTCGAACCTTTGCTTAGTTATTATGTTGTACTCAATGGTACTCATACTATGTATCTGCTTGAAATAAAGGTTTGAAACATTTTGTCCTCAAATTTTGCATATGTAGTTATTTTATAAGTCATTTTGACCACTTATTACACGAAAAATCAATATTAATTTTTTTTAACCTACACTAGGCGTTTAAGTTAGTTTTTGTTCCCTAACTGTAATTTTTAGGATTGCCATAATGATTGGGTTTTTGATTTACGTTGGTTGGATGATACCTGTTTGGCTTCATGTTCGCGAGACTCATCGTTAGCTTTATGGCGGATTCCATCTTCTGAACAAAACCCTAACAATGACAGTAGAATATACCGAAGTGCCGACGCCACTTCAGATTCATCTGTATTCCATATCCGACGTCCTATCGCGTACGCCATGTCATCTACACCTAATGATCGTTTTCGTGCTTTGGAGTATCTTCCGACTCAGACAAGCCTTGCAGTTGTATCAATGTCGCGTCGCCTATACTTATATGATGCTGTTCGAATGGGTTTGGATAAACGGACACGTCCGATTTACACCTTAGTTTTGAGAGATGCTTATCAGGTTGGTTAATGCCTGTATTGTAAATTTACCGTAATGTTTATTATTAACGTGCATATTAAGTAGCGATGTTGTTTGGACGTCAGTTCACTTGAACATTAAATGACCGTGTTGCATCCTGAGAGAAAATAAAATTTGATGGTTGTGAAATTTATTAAAAATGGTGAGTTATAGAAGCAACCTCGTTGATGTATAGAACTTTAAGTCACGTTTTTAATGGAAGCCACTGACACTGGTTGTATCGTATCGAATAAAGTCGGTTATTGTGTGAAATTTACTAAATTGACTTGGAATGAAAATGTGTACAGATGTAGAATGTCTAGCTTCCATAGGTTTCAGCTGGTAATTCTGAGTTATTGCGCTGTCACGCAAATAATAAATTGACAACATCCTTTAAATGTATGATCTTTGATGCTCAAACTGTTGTAAATTCGACGTTTTTTCAATTCTATTAAAGAGAAGAGAGCCATGCTGGAACAGTACTCTTTTGCACTATCCGGTATAACGGTAAAATAACATAAATCAGTCAGTCAGTCAGTCACAACGTAGAACTTCGTACGTACGTACATCAGTTCGAGTTGCCATACCACATTAGCACACAGATGCAGTTGTCGATTCAAATCCCATAGTGGAAGAATTAGTAAGAGTATAAGCAGTAATCGGAAAGATTAGAGTTTGAAGATGTTATTGAAGGAGTATAGTACAGTGAAATATATTTGGAAGGAGAAAAACATAAAGACATGAGAAATTCAGAAGATTAGAATTTGGTAGAACACAAAGAGTGGATGCATCTTCGCCATTGCAAACGATTTTGAGCCATGTCATTCAAGGTCTCTAACCATCGGTTGCTATCATCTCGCGAATCCCAACCAGGTAGTCTACACTTTCCAACATGGCCCAGTCCACTTGTCAGTGACTTCATGGATTTGTGCCACGTTTTGGTCTGGCCACCCCTAGCTTTCTTCCAACCTACTCCTACACCATGAAACATTGCACGTCGGGGCAGTCGGTGGTCGGGCATACGTAACACATGTCCCAGCCATCTCAACTGATGATGTTTCACTACTTCATCAATCGATTTGCCATCCCTACCTAGTACTCGTTTCCTAACAACTGCATTACTTACCCGGTGGTCCCAGGATATACGAGCAATGCTTCGAAGACACCTATGATCGAACACTAGTAGCCTACGAATATCCTCTACTCTTACCGGCCATGTTTCACTTCCATAAAGTAGGACGGAACGAACTGCTGCACAGTAAACCCGTCCTTTGGTTGCTAGACGGATATCTCGCCTACGCCACAAATGATGCAAGTTGGCAAAAGCTAGACGAGCCTTCTGTATCCGTGCTGAGATTTCGTCACACACCAGACCACAAGGGCTGATGAGACTCCCAAGATAAGTGAAGTGGTCTACACGCTCAACTACTTCACTCCCTATCATTAGTTCAGGTGTCGCTGCAACCCAATCCTGAAGTAACATTTTGCATTTCGAGGGAGAGAATCGCATCCCGAACATGCCTGCATTGTTGCTTATGGTGGTCAGAAGACTCTGCATTTTGTCAGTGTCTTCACCGAGTAAAACTATGTCGTCGGCGTATTCTAAGTCAACAAGTGAGCCTCCCGGTAAGAGTTCAACTCCTGGAGGCTTAGCTGATGAAAGTGCTGTCTCTAAAAGTATGTCAATGACAAAGTTAAACAAGAATGGGGAGAGTGGACAGCCCTGACGAACTCCACTTGTGGTAATCAGTTCTGATGACAGTTCGCCATAGGCTCTAACTCGACCAGTTGTGTTCGAGTAGAGAGCCTTTATGAGGTTAATGTACTTCTTTGGTACTCCTTTCAGTGACAAACATTGCCATAGAACCTCACGATCAACAGAGTCAAATGCCGCCTTAAGGTCAAGAAATACTACTATTGTGGGACGTCTGAATTTGTGTCTATGTTCTAGAACCTGACGTAGGGTGAATATCTGGTCTATGCAACCACGTCCAGGTCGAAAACCAGCCTGGTTTTCTCTAGTCTGCTGTTCAGTGTTCAGTTAATCACCTTTTGTAGTGTAACTGTTAAGTTAGACTAGTTTGTTTTCTAGTTTCGAGTGTGGCTTCATTAAATGAACATAATAATCATATATACACTTTCTGCAAAACTAAAAGCATACATGTTTGTCTTTTTTAAGATATATTCACTTACTTGGAAATACTGATTGTTGATTAAATACACCTACCAAAAGCCTCCAAATGCCCTGGTACGGCCGAGAGTGGGGAGAGTCCACTCCCTCTCGAAATGCTCTCACATGGCCACGCGTATATAGCCTCTGACAGGGAAGTCCTACTCACTGCCTTTTCACACCACGGGTGTTGTTTACAAAATCGAGAAGACGAAAAGCGAATGTCCAGTGCTTTAAGCGGATTTGGAAAACCCTGACTCCAAACCAATGGTGCACATGGGCTCCAGTATCCTGAGGGAACAAATGGCGTATGAATCAATCGTTGGTCACCGCCTACCATGGGACTGCATCTCCTTACGATACTCCACTGCCTTGTGGTTCAGATCTTTAGGTCAAAGACTCGGGGTGTGGCCTCCTAAGAAAACCACCTACTTCAGTTTGGGCTTCTGGGCAGTATCACAGCCCTCACACAAATCGAATGAGATATGTGAGGCGCATATGTATTTGGTGCTTTTTTGTACCAATATTTATGTGTTTAAATAAATAAATAAATAACACCTACCAAAAAACAAACTATTAAGCTTCAATATAAGCCTTAGAAATCTTTACTTTTATTTATCTTTGGCAAGTGTATTCAATATTTACTGGTCACAAATGGGAACTTTCTAAGCACCATCAAGAGTCAGATCAACCAAATTAATTTGAAAGCACTTTCAAATCACAAATTTCCCTTTGTCTGTAGTTTTGTGTTGCCTATCTTCTACAGCTCTGAGCAGCAGACGTGTTTTAGAGCATACCGCACTGTTTTACTGTATTTACATTTTGGTGATTCAATGATTCACATTGATTCAGTCTAATTCAACAAAAGAATACCGGAAAAAGTACCATAAGATTAAAGTAGATCAAAAAACAGTGTGAGTCAATAATTGATAATACTGTGTCCACTAAACACAAAATAACTATTAAGTCTGTCAGCACCATTGCTATTAATTCCGAATGACTCGTACCTCATGTAGAAGTAAAATGCATGTAAGACATTCATTGACAAACGATAAGCATATAAACAATCAGGCAACAACAACTGATACGACTACTAAATTTTTCCAAGTTATAATTTTTCTTCGTTCAACTGTTGTCTCAACCAAATAATTTTATTTTTCCCTTCCAAACGACGTGATAATCAAATATAATGAAAACAAACTAAGCGAACCTAATGCGAAACTATGTCTCATTTCACCTTACTGCTGCTGTTATCGTTTGTTTCGGGTTGTAATGCTTTTTTAAAAGCTATCTCAATTGTAAAAACTATCAGTAATCGTTAATTTCAGTTCACTTATTTCAGACCACTAAAATTTGTTGGTTCTTTTATTTTAAATTTCATTTTAGGAAGCTGTAGCTCTTCGACGTTGGCCATCTGAACCTAATTGCATAGCGCTTGCAACTCATCATTGTGTACTTTTGTTTGACATTCGATGTTCTACAGTCAAGGTTGGAGCTGCAGCACGCTGTATACTTCCCCCATTAGATGTATCAGGTGTCCGATCTTTAAACTTTGCTGGATCAGTTCTGTCTTATGGCACTTCCAGTGGTCAAGTTCACTTTTATGACCTTAGAAGTGATCATCATTTGCCAATACAGTTGGACGTTGGGCCTGGTTGGTTGAAACCACAAACATGTGACGAATTCGAGGTACCGTCTTCTGTCTCTCCTTCAGTCGCCCCTGTTTCCAGACCGGTTTCACAACCTCAAGCAGTAGTTCCAAGTTCTTCTAACTGGAATACACCTTCTCCACCACCTTCCCCTGCACATCCAGCTCTTTTGACACGGTCTCTAAATACTGTTCGTTCATCACAACTTAGGGCTGAAGTTGTTAACAATATACGTGTTCGTTTAGACAGAATCCAGCATCGTTTGTCGAGTTTACGCAATCGGCGTAGCATGGCAGTGGCTGGAGCTTTAAACACCTATCCAGTTGTTGAGGCATCAGTGTCTGACAGGTCGATTTATGCTAATCTTCGAAGTGATACACATCAACAGAATGCCACTACAGAGGATGGTAATGATTCTCCATTGTCCGAATCATACTTCCCAGTTGATGACCTCCAGTCAAACATAAACAATGAGACTACGACTGTGGGTTATCCGGATGGCAATAATCAAAGTTCAAGTGAATCAAATGAAATTGATACACCTTCTACACATGTAGTAATGCCTTTTGGTTTACCACGTTTACAAATCCGTGATCCACATTTAGGACCTATTTTTTTAGGAATGAATTATTTTGGCAATATACATTCTGATTTTGTATCTTTTCCTACATTTTTCAACCAACGTCGAATGTTGGCTGTTTATACACATGAATATGACCCTTCAGGTACACGTTTGTTCACAGCGGGTGGTCCAATCGCTTCAACATTTCATGGGAATGTCGCTGCCTTATGGGAGTAAAGCTTGTATTTTACTAGTACTACTATTTGTTTTATTTCACCAACAGTCTTTCTATATGTATGCGTATGCGTGTTCGCACATAACTTACTGACCATTAGAAAATCCACTCACGTAATGTATTTACTTTTCTTGTTATTGTCAAAATCTTTTTCTTGTTTCTTCAGTGTTAATGTATCTATTTGCTTATTTTCTCCTTGACATGCTCACTATATATATTCTTCACTATCCTTATCTACGTAGACTGTTTTATCACTACTTGGATGCTTTATGTTGTTTATACTGTAGCTCTACTGTTGTTCACTTCTGTGATTTCATTTCAGCATCTTTTTTATCTATGTTCAGAAGTTAATTTGTTGTTTATACTTGTCCTAGGTTAATAATAGCTGAATTGTTTATAATCATATTTGCATTCAAAATAATTATAACATCTATAGATAATTATCAAGCAAATTCAGATACTCACTCATTTATGATTACATTTAATGTTCGCACTACACGAACATTTACTTTATTTTCCAAGGCTTCCTTATATACAACAAAATTTCTCTGTATAGTCTGTACATATTACTTTCTGATTAATAACAAATAAATCGTATTTTTCTCGCGTTCATTTTGTAGTATTTTTGTTTATTTGCAAATTGTTTTCCGTTGAAATTCGGCTTTCATCTTGGTTTGTGGTTGCTATCTGTTAATTTTAATTCCCATTTATCCATACAGTAAAGTTAGTCCTGATTTTCGGAGGTGTTATTAATAATTTAGGTTGTTGGCGTACACTTGATTGATTATTTCTAGTTTTAATTGGTGCAATTACGTAAAAACGCTCCCGTACGCACCATATTTGTAGAAATTGTACCTTACGGCTGGGGAATGCAGTCGTCAATTGTGAGTCGATTCAATACGGTACTGCGCAGTTTTATGGACAGTATGGGTCAGTAGAGGTTATCAATTGCTAAGGCGATGGGCTTTATTGGTCGTGATAATTAGAGGTTATATCACTCATTTATGAGTCACTATTTGGTCAGGGTGGAGGAATGCAAACACGGATCAAACCTAATCAAAATCAATCCATTAATCTGTTATGATTAATGTATATTTACTATTTAGGAACTAAAACGTGTCTGGGCTTGATGGTTAAAGACGTTTAATTAAACATTATAAATTACAGTGCAGTAACACAAATCGGTTCGTAGTTCCAATCATTGCAAATTAAACAAATTATTGTCTTGATTATTTATACTTGCCTTTTGTAGTTTGTTTACAAATGATTACTAATTGATTGTACTTGTACAAGACTGGTTCTAAATAGATTACCTCGATTATTTTGCCGAATTCTGCATTCTAGTTAGGTTATATTTATGAGTTTTTAGGTGAAACATTTTCTGCCGATATGATAGTGTTTTGTCAAAGGTTCACTGTAAAACGTATGATTGGGAGATGTTTGGTTTGTTAAACATATATTACGCCTACACACTTCATTTTATTTAGCAAAATAAATTACTTCTGGGTAATGAGTAGTCACAAAGGAAACTAATTTCCATTCCTTTTAAAGCACCCACTGGGATTTCAAAGAAATTCCATGTCGATTATTGTGAAGGGATAAACAATCAGTGTGAAATTAATGTATTTTTGGATAAAAAAAATAAGTTGGTGTAATTGTTGTGTTTCACGTTACATGATATTTAATTGGTCCTTTTTTGATTAATTTGGCGAAATATGTTAACTGTTAACTTGCTGTGATGGTAACAATTCAGCAGTGAAAAGTTAATTTCGTCAACAAATACTGCTTTAATAATCCGGATTACGAAGAAATAAATTCTAACAAATATTAGTGAAAAAGATTAACACCTACGCTAGTCATCATAACAACACCTGCCTTTACTCACTGTTTTTGGATTCTTAACTTTGAATCAAAAATTTGAAGTTTGACACCAAATTGAACTAGAAAGTTTCTTTTTCGAGGTGTAATCATCAAAGTCGGTTCAAACATGTTTTGTCTTGCAATTCGATAATCTAGCATTTCACTTTATAGAATTCTTGCAGAATCATAGACAAGCCACATACCGGTTCTTCTATTTTTCTTATCACAAAACATAATCGTTTTTAATGGGGTATTTGCAGGTACAAAACTAGAAGCCAACTTTTAAGTTTGATTTCAGTGAAAACTGACTATGAGGGTGTCTTGATATAGGTTTATTTAATCTATTTTGGATGTTTGATAATAATCTAGAAATATGTCTAGACAACTTAAACTATTTATGTGTCAGCAGTATATTAGATGAACAAATTCTTCCGGAGTGTTAAACACTTCATTGACGAGTTACCCTCAGACTCTAGAAATCACACTTACGAATCCAGTATTAGCGTTGTCGTGATCTCAATTCACTGTGAAAACTAGAATAAGGAGGAGGTTAACGAAATCGTGGGTTGTTATTCGATTCAAATTGTGTGGCAAATTTTATGTCATAATCGCTCACGGAACTGTAGTTAATGAAGTAGAACGGTTTTACTAGAGGAAATCAGTAGCTAGGGTATTTTAGTGGTACGAATCGAGATGTATCTCGTATTTTATGATTTGACTACGAATTTTTGATTCCATTTTTATCATTTTATCCTTGTTGATCGTATTTTTGTTAAGTGATGATTGTTCATTACCGTGGATGTTTTGTGATACTCTTGCCGTTAACTGAAGCAAATTTTTTGTGTAAGAGCACTTGTTACCTTTAATCATTTGGTTACCTTTCTGTTTATTGATTTCACTTTAAATGACCTGATTCCCCCTGTAGGATCAATTTCCTCCTGACTACTTTCAACCCTTACTTACGCCTGTTACCCCTCGTCGAGGAGCATAGGCCGCTCACCAGCATTCTCCATCCAACTATGCCCTGAGCCTTCCTTTCCAGTTCTTTCCAGTTGCTATTCATCTTTTTCATATCTGCTTCCATTTTCCGGCGTAGTGTGTTCTTTGGCCTTCCTCTTTTCCGCTTCCCTTCCGGATTCCAAGTTAGGGATTGCCTTGTAATGCACATTGGTGATTTCCTTAATGTATGTCCGGTCCACTTCCAACGTCTTTTCCTAATTTCCTCTTCAGCTGGAAGCTGGTTTGTCCTCTCCCATAAAACGCTGTTGCTGATAGTATCCGGCCAACGGATGTTGAGTATTTTGCGTAGACAACTATTTATAAATACTTGTACCTTACTGATGATGGTCGTAGTAGTTCTCCACGTTTCAGCTCCGTAGAGTAGGACTGTCGTGACGTTCGTATTGAAGATTCTGACTTTGAAATTGGTTGACAGTTGTTTGGAGTTCCATGTGTTCTTCAATTGTAGAAATGCTGCCCTTGCTTTGCCAATCCTCGCCTTTACATCTACATCAGATCCTCCTTGTTTATCAATGATGCTTCCCAGGTACGTAAATGATTCCACCTCTTCCAGAGTTTCGCCGTCAAGTGTGATTGGGTTGGTGTTCTCCGTGTTGCATTTGTGAATCTTGCTTTTTCCTTTGTGAATGTGGAAACCTATCGATGCGGAGGTTGCTGCAACATTTGCTGTCTTCATCTGCATTTGTTCGTGTGTATGAGAGAGGAAGGCTAGGTCATCCGCGAAGTCTAGATCGTCTAACTCATTCTGAGATGTCTATTGTATTCCGTGCTTCCCTTCAAATGTTGAAGTTTTCATAATTCAGTCGACCACCAGAAGGACGAGAAAGGATGAGAGTAAGCAGCCTTTTCTGACTTCGGTCTTTACTTGGAAATGCATCTGTCAGCTGTCCTCCATGCACGACTTTGCACTTTAGTCAGTTGTATGAGTTCTGTATAATTTTGACAATCTTCTGAGGAACTTCATAGTGTCGAAGAAGTTTCCATGATGTTCTCCGGTCCACACTGTCAAACGCCTTCTCATAGTCAACGAAGTTGATGTATAGTGATGAGTTTCACCGACATGATTGTTCAGCGATGACCCGTAGTGTCGCGATTTGGTCTGTGCACGAGTGATCCTTACGGAATACAGCCTGTTGATCTCGAAGTCGGGCGTCTATTGCGTCTTTCATCCGGTTCAGCAACACTCTGTTGAAAACTTTTCCTGTTATTGACAACAAACTGATTCCTCTGTAATTCTTACATTTTCTCAGATCTCCTTTCTTTGGTATCTTGATGAGGTATGCTTCTTTCCAATGCGTTCGAACTTGTTCCTCTTCCCAAATCTTATTGAATAGAAGGTGAAGCCTGTTTGCAGTTACTTAAATGTCTGACTTCAGTGCTTCTGCTGGTATATTGTCAGGTCCTGCCGCTTTCCCGCTCTTGATTTATCTGATGGTCATCTTGACTTTTTCGGTCGTTGGTGGAGTGACAGATATAAGAAGGTCAGTGTGTGCTGCTTCGATGTCCGGTGGTTTCGATGGAGCTGGCCTATTCAGCAGTTCCTCGATTATTCTGCACATCTTTTCCTCTGTTCTTGAATCTCCGTGACTGTCTTTCCTTCTTTGTCCTTGACTGGTCTCTCCGGTTTGCTATATCTCCCCGCCAGTTTCTTCGTTGTATCATATAGTTGTTTCATATTTCATTCCCTTGCAGGTTTTTCCGCCGTCGTTGCTAGTTCTCTCATGTATTTCTGCTTGTCGGCTTAACTGCTTTTATTCACTTTCTTGTTTGCTTCTGCGTACTCTGCTTGCACCTTGACTTTCTCTGTTCGTGTTCGACTGTTGTTAATTGCTGTCTTCATGTTCTTCCTTTCTTGAATCTTGTCTAGGGTTCTCATAGAGAACCATTCCTTATGATGATGCTTCTTAGGACCCAGAACCTCCTGACACGATGAAGTTAGTGCTTCTTTGATCCCTTTCCAGTTCTCCTCCAAAATAGTTTCTTGTTCTTTCAGTAGATTCTGTAAAGCTTGAAACCTGTTGTTGAGTTATCTTGAATTTGTTGAGCTTGTCAGTATCTCGAAGGAAGGGTGTATTGAACCTTTGTAATGCTGTTTGTCCAGTTGTCCAGTGTTTCTTTAGCTTCAGTCTCATCTTGGCCACAACCAGGTGGTGATCTTAAGCTATGTCAGCTCCTCTCCGGGTTCTCACATCTTCCATTGATCTTCGGAATTTTTTGTTGATACAGATGTGATCTATCTGGTTCTCTGTGGTGTGGTCCGGTGAGATCCATGTAGCTTTGTGTATGCGTTTGTGTGGAAATATTGTTCCGCCTATAACCAATTTGTTTAATTCACATAGATTTGCAAGTCTCTCCCCATTTTCGTTTCTCTCTCCTAATCCATGTCGTCCAATTATATCTTCATATCCTGTGTTGTCCACTCCAACTTAAGCATTTAGATCTCCCATCAGGATGGTGAGGTCTTTTCGTGGGCACTTCGCTATAATTGATTGCAGCCTTTCATAGAACTGATCTTTATTATCGTCGTTGCTATCATTAGTGGGTGCATAACATTGGATAACGTTCATTGTGATCCCTTGCTTCTTTGTTCTGAATGATACCTTTATTATCCTGGGTCCATGAGATTCCCATCCTACAAGTGCATTTCGTGCTTCTCCCTGAGTGTGTGGAGCATTTTCCCCTTCGTGACCGGAGTATAGCAGCATCTCTCCTGTACTTAGCCTTTGTTGTCCAGCTTGTGTCCAATGGGTTTCGTTGATTCCGAGTGCTGCCAATTTGTATCTCCTTATTTCCATTGCTATTTGACTGGTCTTCCCGGTCTCCCACATTGTTCGGACGTTCCATTTACCTATAAAGAGTGTTGCTGTGGTTTCTAGAACTGGCATCGGCCTCGTGACTTCCGAAAAATCTCGGCCTTCATCATGAGGTATCATAATTCTTCCTTTAACTCCCGGGGTAGAGTTTAAATGGTTTAAATTATTTTTTCTGGTTAGCGTTGTTTTAGCGAGTTAGTTTTTCTACGAGATGGGGTCGCTAACCCCATGCCGAACCCTCCTCCTTTACCCGGGCTTGGGACCGGCAGTAACTACAGGCGGAGTTACTTTCAATCCCCTGACTTCAAAATGAAGTGCATGCGAAATCGAATCACTCAGACTGGTGATCATGTTGCAACTTGATCGACTGAGTCCATTCAACTCTAAGGACTGGACAAAGATGATATTTATCACTAATCAACGTATATTTCCAATTTAACCATATAACGTACGGATAAACGAAAGGAACGCCAATGGGATAATCATTAAAGGGATAAGCTGAAAAACACCTTCAGTTCGATCAACAACGTCTTCGATGAATGAATATCTTTCAAAAGAACGGCTATCCACAAATCTTCATCAACAGATATCAGTCCAACTCCTTAGCAAAAGTGAAATCGAATACAGAAACCAACAAACGAACTATCCTATTATACATAGAAGACATCAGAAATTACGAGACTATTAAATCCGTTTAGAATAGTGTAATACATGACCCAGCAAATCACCCCAATTCGTCTTATAGTAAATAAAGAATGAAATAAAAGGAAAACTGAATATCACCTACAATATAAACTGTTCCAATCGTGAGAAACACTACATCGGAGCTACACCACACAGGTTTTTTTAGTGCTGTATGAACGGTATTATGCATTTATAGGTATCAATACCAAGGTTGGACATGATAGTTTCAAATAAATTGAGCATTGGGTAGAGGATGAATAATATTTTTAAAAAAATTATATATTAGTCGAGTTTTATTGGTTTGAAACTGAAATTCGGTTGTGATGCCGGATTTAATTATTTTTTTTGTCAAGTGATTAGAAGAAATCCACAGAACACCCTGAATGTAGATTATAAATTTATAAGGATTGATGTGAAAGGTTTTGTGAAGTGTATTATGAATGTCAATCAGATAATGGTCTGATTTCCGGGTTCCACGTGTATAGTGGTGCGACTAATTTTATCGAATTAAATTCATAAATAAATGCTTTGTAATATCACCTTTCATATTAGGTTTTTTGACTTATATTAATTCAGTTAGAGTCAGTTCTCCCTGACATTAGAAACGCCATCATTTGATTTAGATTATGCAATATTGAAAATTCAATCATAATAATATAAATTTTCATGCTTTTCATTCATTAGTGATTATTTCTTTAAAAAATGGCCGATTATAATAGACCACTACCAATCAGATCTATGCCACCAATGCCTCGTTCGTTACCGCCTCTAGGAAGTAGATCACTGTCATCGTTATCTGAACATAAACACTTTACATGGAATACTCAATCATTACATGTAATGCACGGATATAGACCAACCGTGTCAACATCAATTGGTGAGCAAATAGTTGCACCGGTTCTAAATCATCAGTCATCGCTTCCATTACAACCAATATTATCGCCCTGTTGGTCGAATGCTGAACGTTTCCCACCTACTCACTATCCTCCTCCTGTTCCTTTCGGTTATTTGTCAATCCCACAACAATCTGTTGTTAATTTTGAGTCAACTTTCAATTCATGGTTAAGTTATTATGAACCAATATTTATCGAGCGTAGAAGACAATGTAAAGAACAAAATAATATACAACTACCGGTGTATAGAAATATATTGGTCAAATGGTCAGAATTAATTCAGAAAATGCAATCAACTTCTACACAAAATGAAATGCCTTCTTTTTCATTACAGGTAAGTTGTCTTTATTTTCAGCTATATATATACGATTGTACAGCTTGATAATAAATGCGTCCGAAAGAAGTCCCTTCGCCGAACTTCGTGTTTTTAATGTTCAAGTAGGAACTACTTGTCTATGGTAGAATACAGTCATTTCAATGTTAAAACGAAACACTAACCCTACTGATGTACATGGACAAATTTAGGCAACCATAGTAAAGGTGTATAGTAATTTGAAACCCAAACAAATGTAATTGAACCATCACAGTGAATATTTAGGAAGTATTGATTGGGGCCAACATTACCAGTCAATCAAGAGAAGGATTTTTAATGGATTAGTTAGTATGACATGCTAACAATAACTTTACCAAACCCCTTAACTTCTTTTTGATATCACACTAAATATAGTCAACTCTTCACTAAAAGCTTTTGTTATAAATTTCCAGACCCCAGAAAATAAGTTCTATGGTCTACTTTTTTATAATTTGCTTGTACAAATTTAAATGTAACGTCTACCTACCAAATATTACATCGTGTGTTTAATTTTTATTGGTTTTAATGCTGTCGTGTCCCTGTTGAATTGTCTTTGGTTGACTATGTTGATTCAAAAAGACACATTAAGTATATTAATATACGATAGCCGTACGTTTGTATAAATCTTTTTTGGATCGAATTAATCTTTTACTTAAGGTTTGGCTTCTACCTTTGGATTATCCAAGGCTAGGCGAAGAAGAAATGGGTTGTATTTTATCCTTGTGTGTGGTGGATAGTCATTCTGAACAGTGGAGATGTATCGTCTCTGTGGTTATTAAACCTCTCTCATCGCATTCATCCAAATATCCCTTCCTACAGCTAAACGTTTAAGGTTTATTTATTTTCACTAGCATTCAATTGCAAATTACTGTCTCTTACACTGTCAGTGGGAAGAAGTTGATATATCTAATACATCAGCATGATTTATCTACATTGTAATCTGATAACATTTAAACCAGTTCCTTTCAATCTACACTATTAGTACTGTCATCTTCAAATAGAACACGAAAAGATTTTCGAAATTGTGGAAATTAAAAACTGAAGATCTGTGTCAACCGAATCTTATTGCGTATAAAGTAACAGTGATCTTTCACTGCGTGCTCTCGTATATTAACACTATGCTTACTAGAAATCCGTGGCTATCAAACTAATTAAAATCTTACTGTATTCTTAAAACTGATAATAAGTAGATGCTTCAAGTCTATAGCTAATAAGTAGATAAACCAAAATCTTGGCAACGTTGTTGATATGTTTTTTTAATAGTTGTATTGCAAAATTTATCTTTGGTGGTTAAAGTCTGTTGAATAGAAGAAATGATTTGTTGGAAATAATAGATAACTTGACCTGATGATAATAGATAGATTAAAGTAATCTTGATTGAACATATATTTTTATTATAGAATGAATCAGATGTGTTTACGATCTCCTCATTATTTATCGTAATACTTTGAATTCGTGTGGCTTAAATTGATCCAATAATCCGGTTTCTCGATTATCTCAAGCAAATTCTTACTTTATCCACTGCTACTAGATATGTTTTACAGTAATATTGTTTGGAGATCTGAGATGTTTAGTTACTCCTAAATATTGGTGAATTTATTCCAGCATGTGAAACAGTTTTGAGTTTTGATGTTTATTTAACGCTGAAATATTTGGAAACTCCACCGGGAACCTTTCTGGAGTAAGTGGCTGTCTCAAGTCCGGATAAACGGGAATGGTTGTGTATAGTGTTAATAACTGCACCTAACAGTTAACGTATATCAACTTGACCGATTTTCGTAACTTATTTTGTAATTTTGTAATTCTGTTTTGTTATCCAGAATGAACTGAATGCTGTTCAACAGTATTGTATAAATCCACATATTACCAATTTAGTGAAGAAGAAACTTCGTGTAATCCACAAGAAAAGAGTACGTCTAAAATTTGTTATTGTTAGGGGTTTTCGTTTGTTAATTTATAATTTACACTTAGACTTTGTCGTTAATAGGAAATAGCTTATAAGAAATCCTCAGCATTGCTTAAATCGTAGCAATAAAGGATGCCCGTGGCATAAAATCATATATAGAAGAGAACAATCAATCAGATTGAAAATTACAAAATATCAATTCCCAGTTCCGCTGTCTCTAGTGATATTACTCCTTAAGTTAGTCGAAAATCGATATTCCCACCTAACATCATTACATTAATCGTGGTCAATGAGCAGGTGACATTGTTGGCTTATTTTGCAGACTGAAAAGTTCAGATTAACACATGAGATTTAGATTGTTTATTGTTAAGTTTTTATTTTAAGTCATCTCCTCTGACAATCTAAGAACGAAAAACGCGTTAAAAGAATTATAATTATACAAATATATGGAGTTCATATTATGGTTATAATCTCTGTTCGAAAGTTTAAGATTAACTCGGTTTCACATAGGTCATATGCCTTTACTTCTCATCGTCTCCTAATTTTCCTATTACTTATTTCCTTATTCTATATTCTGTTTTCGCTTGTTCTTTTGTGTTGTCTTCGATTTTTATTTGCTACTATTAGTACCATTATGTTCATACTTTAGACTTTTCTCTTGTCCACTTCCCTAGGTTGAATTCGTTTGAATTGTGAGGATCACAACTGTATAATGATATTTCAGTTGTTCTCTCTTTCCTAATCCTTATACAGAATCTGTGTTGCCATACATAACATATAATCACCACACACTATCTACAAACGATTTTCCAATTACATTAGTCGATATGGATCTGTGCTTAATAATTTGCTAAGAATCTCATCTATGTAGTTCTATTTAATTTCAGTGCGATGTATTAAGTGACTTTATACATCAGTTATACCTCGAAGAAAGGTTCAATGATGATGGATTTGATTCCCATTTGCGGGGTGTTCAATGCTCATTACTGAGTATTTCTATACCAAGACAAAACGGCAGTTCATCGCTCTCACGTCCTCAATGGTTGTCTAACATACATATGTTCATGGGCAGTTCACGACCATAATAATGCCTGTTGCAGATATTTTTTTGTAAATAGTTATTTATTATTAGGCTCGAAATTGGGTTCGAATCCCGCGAGAGTGGGTTCGTGGATGCGCACTGCTGAGGAGTCCCATAATATTACGAAACGGCCGTCCAGTGCTTCCAGGTTTTCGATGGTGGTCTAGCTTCAATTGACTCATGATTTCAACTTTGGAAAAAATACTGAAATCTCCACGAATCCCCTTCTAATTAGTTATTTATCAATTATGTGTACTTACGTTTTCGACTTCATACATCATTTCCAAATTCAACAAAGTATATTCAGTAAGTGAATAGCTAAATAAGTATTTTCAGGTCATATGAAAAATGAATTAAAAATTAAGCAGAATAGTTGACCTATTGACATAATATCGATACTTATTTGTTTCTCATCACTACAGTTTACTATTGCTAATCATTCATATTAACAAGAGAAGCATATGGTAGTAGTTCGTGGTTCCCAACCTAAGTGATACATTTCTACAGTACACTGTAGTTTTTCAATTAATTTATTGCTACTGCTGGTCGATGATGAATATAATTAATTCTTTGTTGACCTACCATAATAATTGATTCCCTCAAATAGCTTAGAATGCATTTTTATCCTAATCCTATGAAGATGGCATACAATATACGGCAGAAACCATTTTAGTTAAATGATGGATATGAAACAGAAATATCAAGAATGTTTTAATGTCAACTTTTATTTTAAGTTATAAAGGTTCAGTTATTATGCTCTAACTAATTTCTTCTACAACACAATCTGTTATGAAGTTTTCATATATGCATTCTAATTATGATGATGGCAACGTAGTTGTCAATCGGTTTTTGTTTTCAACATAATCCCCCAAGTAGACATTAATTTAATGGTTCGTTAAATAAGCCAATAGTCAATTTTCTTTTGGTAAATAATTAGTGTATTTTGTTTGATTCTTAATTTACTTCTCCTTCTCACATACGATACACATCTATGCTACTGCTACCTTGACGTGGTGGTCGGGCTTGCCTATCGTGATGAACCAATCGAACTATATTGGCTGGAACAATCGTTCGTCATAGTCCTACCATGCCAGACAGGTCGGTTGTTCAGCGGTAAGACTAGAAGCAGCAAACCCAAGGTCGGAAGACGAAGTCGTACTGCCGACTGTACAGAGGTGTGACAGCAGTAAGGTGTTTCTTTCAGACAATCAGCTTAACAGCGATGCTGCCTTCCCACAAGGAGGGGTGGGGTTAGAGAAGGTCGACCCTAAAAATACACACCTCGCCTTATCCCACGGATTTCCGTCTCCGGCGGTAAGGTCATTTGAAGAACGTAGCTAACACGTCAAAAATCCCCCACAAAAAGGCCGTGCGTGACCGGCCTCAAGCAGTTGTCCGTTTGGCACTGCGGTCACGCTCCCAGGTCGTTATGACCAACTCTAATCCAACTTCCTTTTCAGGCCCCTCCAGAAATACCCTCCCACGGCGTGGGCAGCCAGGAAGTGATATTAGCCCTCATACCCGTAACTGCAAACGAGACCAAGTTGGTCACATTCAAATCCCTCCTACACCTAATAACTTTCTTATCGTGGTATAGCAACTCGAACTGATGTACGTACGTACGAAGTTCTACGTTGTGACTGACTGACTGATTCAACAGAAATATCTTTAGAGTTAACTAACATCCTTGGAGTTCCATTTCATTGGTATAAGTGTTTTTTTTAAATTATTTTTTCATCATATCATGTCTTTTCAATAGATAATATTGTTGTGTAATCATCAATTAATATGAAATTTTCTCAGTTAGAGATGGTTTTTTATCTGGAAATGTATCATACGTATTGCTTGAAAACGGATGATATACAATTCAGCTCCCTAGAAAAATTTAAAGTGGAATTTTGAATATATATCATTATTACATATTTATATGAAACAGAAGCACACTTATCTAGAGATCTAAAACTACAATTTTATGCTTAAAAAAATACTATTAGGTCAAATTCACTTAGTATTGCTTGTTTGAATCTTCCCATTGATGTTTAGGACTGCAACTGATCAGTTTCTCAAACAAGTAATGCTAAGTGAATTTAGACTTCATTCCATTGCACAAGCAAGTGGCTATCAGGACTCAGTAGCTGAGTGGATAACGCGATGGCGTCTGAAGCGAAAGGTACTGTGTTCGAGTCCCAGAGTGAACATCAATTCTGAGATGCAGGTACATCCATCTGACGAGTCCCAAATAAGATGAAACGCGCATCCTGGATTCTACTGCTAGCCATTATCCATCTTTGCTTACAATACTATTAAGTCAGTTGAACTTGTCTTGATCTAACCACAAGAATGTAGTATATCCATCATTTGTGCAATAAATGTGATTTAAGGAAGTTCTTTTTACTTTATTAGACCTGATTAAAAATATTTGTTATTATTAGTGTAGATTATGAAATTTAAAGTAAAAATCAAGAAAAAGAAATGCACTCAGAAATGACAATTGATTTCGGCTAGTTTCTTTAGGTCTATACAATTTGAAAATTACATAAACATCCACCTACTACGAATATCTTATAATTAACTACACTTTCTATCTGGTTGGTCAAGTTTTACCGATATAAGTGTAGTTCAAAATCATGCTTGCAAATTAAAGACATTCAGTTTGTTTAATGAATCTTTGTTAATTGTAGTTTATATTACTAACAATGTCTTTATCATCTTGACATTCTTTTTACATATTCTCGAAATTCAAAGCATTTCACTGTTGTTTCAAGTATCTACCATCTGATAGTTAATTTAATTTGCTGGTATTAATTAATACTAATTAATAATCTCAATAACTATATCACTGAATCTTTTAAAATATTGAGTAGTACCATAAATTTTTTTGAGTCCAAAATCATCATGTACTCTACACGTTTTTTTTTCCCATTCAGACGGTCTGTACATTTAATGCAAAGTATTTTATAAATGATACTTTGTCTCTATAACATAATAATTTGACATTCACTAAGGAATTGTATACTACAACGCTACTTTATATGAAAATAGACTTATTTAATTTAAAGGTAGTGTAGACTAAACAGTCGTGATACTGTAATCACTATAATAATGGTCTTTTTATCAGTGCTTATTATTTTTATTTTATTTGAACACATAAATATTAGTACAAAGGGGCACCGAATACATATGCACCACACAAGTCACTTGATTTGTGTATTGGTTGTGATACTGTTCGGGTACCCAGGTCGAAGTAGGTGATTTTCTTAGGGAGTCACACCTCGAAGATTCGACTTAAAGGTCTAATCCACAAGGCAGTGAAGCAACGTAAGGAGATGCAGTCCCATGATAGCCGGTGACCAACGATTGATTCATACGCCATTTGTTCCTTCAGGATACTGGAGCCAGCCCATGTGCACCATTGGTTTGGAATGAGGGTTTTTCAACCTTCATAGGTGGACTCTCCGTGTCCTCCAACCCGGTTAAAGTGCCGGATATTCGCTTTTTGTCCTCTCAATTTCGTAAACAACACCCGTGTTGTGAGGAGGCAGTAAGTAGGACTTCCCTGTCAGAGGCTATATATTCGTGTGGCCATGTGAGAGCATTTGGAGAGGGAGAGTGGACTCTCCTCACTCTCGGCCGTACCAGGGCATTCGGGGTCGGTAATTATGTATCAAATGTTATATTACATCGTGTTTTTTTCATAGTTTCCTCTCTTCGACCAGCCCAGGCTCAGGAGTCATTTGTTACTTAAGCATTTTGTTACTCAGTCTACATGATTTGGTATAAAATGATTCGTACTGCGTAGTTGCATTAATTAACTCATATTGAAAACGGATGAAAAGACTTATGAGAGAAGTCCATGTATTATGACATTGCAGTAGTCATCGACTATACTTTCAGAAATCTACTTTCTGTATGCTGAGCGTCATATAAAAACGATTGACTACTTGAAGACATATATATTTTCCCTAAAAGCCATTCTGAAACTTGAAATCAATTGTTCTTCCAATCTTTCTCGTTTTCGATCATGATTTCTTAATTCTAGTTTAATATTAATCAATTTTGAATTTATTTTATGTAACCTGAGTTAAGTAGTCAATCTTTCTTTGCCACATTCATCATAACCCACTAATTGACTAAGATGAAAAATTGTTTTCATTTATTCTAACTGATTTATTTCTTTTCAGCGTTATCTTAAACGTTTACGTGATCGTAGACAAAATTCACAACTACAATCATCAACTTCTTCTGTAATCGTACAGTCTACAACTGGTAGTATACTTGAACGATTAAAATCAGACATATCATTGGCTATTGTACAATCAAGTGTTCATGATAAACAGGAAATCAATGTAGATAACCATACAGACAATGTTATTGACAATGAATCAAAACAGAAACTGTAAGTAGTTTCTCATTTTTGAGAAATCATATTAATTCCTTTGAATTTGATTGACGGCATCTTTTTTGTCTAACTAATATGCACACATGTTTTACACCATTGAATTTAATGCTTCGATAATAAGACTAATTAATGAGCGATATATTCATAAAATTTCAGTCATGAAATCGTTAACGATCTTGTTAATATGTTATTTGATATATAATTGATACCCGATAAGTTGGTTGGTAGTAGTCCCTTCTTATTGTCGGTTGATTTCTAATTTATCGTTCAGTCTTCCCCTAAATTGGTGATTTTCCTTTAGAAAAGAGATGCATTTAATCAGTTGCTGCCAATTAAATATTGTCCTGTATAATAGATTAGTACTATTGTGGTGTTTGCTACTGATGTCGACAGACATAATTAGTATGTACCACCAATTGAAAGTGAAATGCTTAGCGTCAGAATGTTAAGAAGACCGAAGAGAATGAGAACGAGAACAAAGAATGATTGGTGTGGAAGCGAAAGAACAATGAAATATGAGACGATTGATCGACATTTTGCAAATGAAGTATTCACTGTATGGACCTCAGATTTTACTACGAGATTCCTTAATTTTGTATTCAAATACATTTGGTTGTTCTAACTGTGTATTCCTTCACTGCAATACTTCAAACCTTTGCTTTTTAAAATCAGGTTCCTTGACAAGTTTGATTTAGTTGTATTGAGTCAGTTTTTGTAGCAAAAACAACTCACGTGGACAGTGTTCCATTCATTACGAATCTTTAGTTTTGTACAAAAATGTAAAGGACTTTTTCTACTGCTGCCACTACTTCCATTACATTGAGATTTCCGCTAACAATTTCATCTTGCTATGTTGATATGGTGTAAAAACTTGGACTGATCTATATACGTGGCAAGACGTACATTGAGTATGACTGATTGACTAATGTCATTGTTACATCTTTAAATTTCACTTTGGATAATGCAAAGTTTCATTGTAAATCTGAAAAGAGTAAATTTATCCGTGTAAAGGCATCTCAAAGTGTGATTAATACTTTAGTAATGAATCAATTATTTGATGCAAACATTGCTTTGTAATTGGATTTAGTTATCACTCAATGATTTCAACTGTATATGCTGTAGAGATATTGTTTTGATCAAGTCTTTCTGGTTTTCTATCTTTACATCTTTCTTGTGACCATATAACTCCATATTATATTTTTCTTGAATATGTTAAACTCTTTGAAATGAACATTCTCCTACCTACACATTGTTTTCTTTTATAAATAATCATCTTATTTCCTAATGACATGATGTTGAGTTTAACATAAAGAACAAGATGAATTGTGTTTCGTAAACAACCGGAGTTGATGAAATCAGCTGTAACTGTTTTACAGTTAAATCTAGTGTAAATCGTCCTACGATCGATTTAAAAATGACAAATATATACTTCATTATCATATGATTAATTTCTTCATGTTAATTATGATTGTTATCATCATTATTCTACACATCTCTTTGTTGTTTTTTTGTGTGTCACATTGTTTCATTCAGCACATTATTTTGACCTTCATTGTATTATACATACACATATGTTCTTTTTCAATGAAGAAATACCTGTTTCTAGTTTATTTTTATTATGTAATTTGTGTAATTTGAATGTTATCTTCATCAACTGATTTCATTTCTAGATGTAAATTACTGTGACACATTAGCAATCTATAAAGATTTCATTCCTGTCTTCCAATAAAATCATGAAAACTAGTTTTAGATGTATTCACCAAATTAAGATAACTAAACTGTTAGTGATATTCAAAATCCTAGGATTAAGCGTTAATGTAAGTTCTTTCTTTGAGCCATTTATTATTATTATTTAAACGCATAAATATTGGTACAAGGGGGCACCAGATATATATGCGCCACACAAGTCACTTGATTTGTGTAAGGGCTGTGATACTGCACAGGTGCCCAAACTGAAGCAGGTGGTTTTCTTAGATGGCCACACCCGGAGCATTTAACCTAAAGGTCTAATCCACAAGGTAGTGGAGCAACGTAAGGAGATGCAGTCCCATGATAGCCGGTGACCAACGATTGATTCATACGCCATTTGTTCCTTCAGGATACTGGAGCCAACCCATGTGCACCATTGGTTTGGAATGAGGGTTTTTCAACCTTCATAGGTGGACTCTCCGTGTCCTCCAACCCGGTTAAATTGCCGGACATTTGCTTTATGTCCTTTCAATTTCGTAAACAACACTCGTGGTGAGAGAAAGCAGTGAGTTGGACTTTCCTGTCAAAGGCTATATACGCGTGGCCATGTGATAGCATTTGGAGAGGGAGAGTGGACTCTCCTCACTTTCGGCCGTACCAGGGCATTTGGGTTCTTTTAAGTCATTGAAATAGCCACAAGCTTTCTGGTTAGTGTTGGCAATATCAGAGATCATCGTTTAGTTAGAAAACATTATTTGTTGTAATCCATAGCTAATTCTAATTGAATTGTTTCATCTCTATTTTATTCATCCTTGTTTTGTTCTGATACTATTTGTCGATTCAATAGGATAGGACTTTTAATAAAACACTTTTATTTTCTAAACCAAATTTACATCTATTCACCTTTCTTAATAACTCCGCCTGCAGCTCTTTTAGAGTTACTGCCGGTCCCAAGCCCAGGTAAAGGAGGAGGGTTGGGTGTGGGGTTAGCGACCCCATCCTTTAGAAAATCAACTCGCTAAAAGAATGCTAACCAGAAAAGATAATTTAAACCATTTAAACTCTGCCCTGGGAGTTGAAGGAATAAGCACATATGAAAAAGATGAATAACAACTAGAAAGAACTGGGAAAGATTGCTTAGGACAGAGTTGGGTGGAGAATGCTGATGGGCGGCCTATGCTCCTCTACTAGGGGTAACAGGTGTAAGTAAGTAATTAACCTTTCTTAATAGATCAAATGATCACACTTAGTATTCAAGACAAAAGAAAAACGATGAACTTTCTTCCCAAAAATAGTTTTTCAATTTATTTTTTTGTTCAGGTTTAATATTAGTGAAGAAAATAACAATCATCATCATTTTAATCAAATGAAAACAACATTACGTAAATCCATTGATGAATGTCAAAAACGTATACAACTACTGAACAATTTGGAAAAATTACGTTCAGCACGATTAGCACAAGCTGAACAACAAGGTAATTCTATACATAATTTATACGTATATAAGGTGGAAGGGTTCAAACGAATTATAATATCTGTCAATTGAATGTAATTGTAGTTCATTAAACCAAAACTTAGATTAACTAAATGCTAACATTATTATTATTATTCCGATTTAATTATTTCCAGTTTACTTCTTAAACTGTAATTTATTTCCATTAAAGACTGATAATTTGTAGATCTATTATACTAAAGTACCAAGCTTAAATTTTCATAGCAATATGTATTGCATTGTTGTTAGTTTTAAACTAAGCATGAAAATTTATAGTTCAGGCGTTACTTACTTACGCCTGTTACCCCTCATGGCTCCCAAATGTCCTGGTACAGCCGAGAGTGGGGGAAGTCAGCTCTCCCTCTCGAAATGCACTCACATGACCACGCGTATATAGCCTCTGCCAGGAAAGTCGTACTCATTGCCTTCTCGTGGCGGGGGTGTTGTTTACGAAATTGAGAGGACGAAAAGCGAATGTCCAGTGCTTTAACCGGGTTTGTAGACACGTAGGGTCGACCTGGGGGACACAACAAATCGACTTCTGTTTGTTAATACTGATAATAATTGAAAGGTACTAACTAGTTAGATTGAACTTCAAAATTTTTTTATAAAAAAAATATTTAATCTTTTTTAGGTGGTCTTTTTCCTTATCAACTCAATGAAAAATTCAATTCTGACATGAATGAAGTGAAAAATCAACTATCTGTTCAAATCCAAAAGTTGGAATCATTATATTCAAAGGTTAAAGTAAGTTATTGTCTAGTCTTATATATTGTGTATTACTTCATCAATTTGATTTGATTATAAACAGGGGTAATCAGTTGTGTAACTCATCACTGTGCTGATCAAATAATCAAATTGAAATGTGTGTAAGAATAACAAGAAAAAAAGTATTAGAATTGTTATATCTTGTGGCCGAATGGATGCCTTGTTAGCGTATGACGTGATAAAACCGCCAATCAGAGAGTAGTGAATTATCTATTGGGACAATGACAGACGAAAACCGTACAAGCAGTCTAGAATGCATATCGGCCCTGCTATCTGCCTAGCCCAGCCCAATTACAGCCTCTGCAATATGAATCATTATTCTCAAACATGCTGGGTTTATATACCAAGCAAACTGACCACATCGTACCATAAAATAGAAAACAACATGTGTACAAGATTTAGCCAAATGTGGCTGTGAATAAGGGAAACAGTGATCAATAGACTAGGGATAACTCAAGAATGGTAAATCGTATGACAATAGTTCATAAGTCAAAATAAAGCTTATAATGAGAGGAACACGAATATGAATAGTTAAGTTACTTAACAATTATCCAGTAGGAAATATACATATCATATTGGTCTATAAATAGTTCTCAAAAGTTACCATTCACAATTCTCTTCGGGATACAACAAGAATATATTTTATTTTATAAACATTATTTAGATTATATACTTTATCAGTTTTGAGTAACATTATCTCCATCCTGATGTAATACAATGAAATGTAAATCCACATATAGATTGTATGTAGACTGATATTATGTAAGTAATTGGCATTATGATTATTCAATTTGTAAATTTAAAATTTTACGACATTGCGATTAAATATTCACATCGGTTATTTACGTTTATTATCATACAATTCAATTGTCTTATGAAACTGTAAACTAGCTGTCATGACCTAACATAACACTTATCATAATTCATGTTGGCTTAATTTGACACTGGATTATCGAGGACGAGAGAGAGAAAGAGGGAAACATTTACATCCTTAGGAATTTTGTGTGTCTATGTAAGCATGACCATCTATTTCTAAAGACAACATTCATGATACAGAGCTCCATTTTCAGTGCACAAAATATAATAAACCTGTTCTATAAACTTAATAGTCAGAGTTCTTGTTTTATCAGTTAATAATACAAATGCTGTTGGCTAGCATGTGTCAATCCCAATAGGATCAACAAGAAAAATGAAGATAATCATCTATACAAAAAATCAAATAAATCGATATAAACCATTTAATCAAATGATCATTTGTACTTTAATTTGATATATTACCCCTTTTTTATATAGTAAATCATTTGATATTTTTACATAACAGTTCAACTTTTCCAGTTCTATTATATCGTTTGTTTTATTGTATTATGAAAATACCCCCTCTGTGTGCTTGTTTAAGTAGTAGTTAACTATAACAGAGAATTATTTGATTGCCTTTTGGACTTAATGGTATTTTCCAATTGTAACTTACAAGAATGACCTACCGTTGTTGCTACCTTGACGTGGTGATCGGGCTTGCCTATCGTGATGAACCAATCGAGCTATATTGGCTGGGACAATCGTTCGTCATAGTCCTACCATGCCAGACAGGTCGGTTGTTCAGCGGTAAGACTAGAAGCAGCAAACCCAAGGTCGGAAGACGAAGTCGTACTGCCGACTGTACAGAGGTGTGACAGCAGTAAGGATAAAGACACATGTCGTCGCCTTTTGGCCATTTCTGTCTACACTCCCACTGACTCTAGCTCGGATGAAGTGAAAGATGTCTTTTACAGAAAGCTTTCTAAACTTCTTCGAAAAGCTAGACACTCAGACATTGTACTCGTAGCAGGTGACTTTAATGCCCAACCAGGTAGCTTAAACGAAACTGAAACACTTAGTTTATTTTAATATTCCGGCTTAGCGAACCGATAATAGTAACCGTCTGCTGCAACTGTGATCAAACAATCGTTTATTTTTAGTAAGTACTGATTTTAAGCATAAGGAGATACATCGTCTAACATGGCGACCACTTTTACCAAACCAACGATGGACTCGGATAGACCACATTGCCATCAGTCATCGTTGGAGAGACTCGGTAGAAGACTGACGCTCGTTCTGGAGTACATGTTTAGACCCTGATCATGCTCTAATACGAGCACTCATTTGCTTGCGCCTCACTGGGCTCAGGAAAACCATATTATGAAGACTCATTAGAGTTGGACTCAGCGATGAAAAAGTCAAAGGTAAATTCCATGAAGAACTGAAGTAACGCTTAGGCAATTTCAAAAACAAAGCTGACCCATATATTGCTTGGAAAGATACACGTACAGCTGTGGAAACAGCAGCGACATCTGTTAGCGATTTGAACCGAAGGGTTACGAAAAACTAATGGATTTCTGCTACATCTATTGCACTGATGGATTCTCGTAAACGCATCCCATCATGCTCTGAACACGATGAAGAGCGTAAACAAATTAGATCCAGCTTAACCAAAAGTCTAAAAAACGATCGTTCTCAGTGGTGACCAACGAAAACAAAACAAATGGAAAAGGCAGCGGCTGTAGGCGACACCAGACAACTCTTCAGACTAATAAAAGGAACAAAAATTAAGAAGTCAATTGCAAGAGAGATAATCTCGGAAAAAGACGGGACCCTTATCTGCTCTCAGCCCAGACGTTTAAAATGATGGGCGGAGCACTTTAAGGAGCAGTTCAGCTGGCCTTCAGCTACTCTACAGCTAGCCTGAATAGAACGTTAAAATAGGCCCTCCGACTATAATTGAATTTCAGAAAGCTATAGCTAATCTGAAATGAGGTAGAGCAGCAAGTCCGTATGGATTAACTACAGAGGTCTTTAAGGATGGTGGTCTAGTTTTAGCGATTCGGTTGACTAATAGTTTAGCTAAAATCTGAGAGTTGGACGTAATCCCATCTGACTGGTCACAATCACTTATTGTCCCAATGTATAAGAAGGCGTCAAATCATGTGATAACCATGGAGAGACTAGTTTAACTAATATAGCATCTAAAATACTTGCCTCAATAATTATCGGGCGCTTAATTAAGACTCGTGAGCTGCAAACACGAGAAAGTCAGGCTTGCTTGAGACCTGGTCGTGTCTGTATCGACCACATATTCACTATTCGTCAGGTGATAGGTTTTCTTGACTTAAAAGCAGCATTTGACTCTGTAGACCGAGAGGCTCTGCGGCAGTGTCTGTCATTGAAAGGTATACCTCAGAAGTACATAAACCTTGTGAAGGCTCTTTACTCGAACACTAGCAGTCGAGTGAGAGCTTATGACGAACTGTCATGATTTTGCAACCTCAAGTGGTGTTCATCAAGGCTGTCCACTATCTCCATTTTTATTCAACATTCTCTTCGTTTGAATTTTCGGGAATTTATCTAACAGGAAGTCCACTTATTGACTTGGAATACTCAGATGACAGTCCTGTTTGGTGAAGACTCTTATAAAATGTAAAGTCTTTTAGTAGCGGTGAGCAATAATGCGTTTCTTCCCCCCCTGTAAATGTGAATTCTTGCTTCAGTACATGCCTGCATCAACACCTGAGCTAACGACAGGGAGTAAAGTAGTCAAACGCGTCGACAACTTCACTTGGAAGTCTGAACAGCCCTAATGGGTTGGTGTCTGACAAAGTCTCTACACGGATTCAGAAAGCTCTTTTGGCTTTTACCAACTTCCGTGACTTATGGCGAAGTTGAGTTATTCGTCTATTAATTAAGGGGCAAGTGTACTGTGCAGCAGTTCTTTCTGTTCTACTTTACGACTGCGAACCATGATCATTAAGAATATAGAACACTCGTAAGTTTCTAGTATTTAACCGCAGATGTTTTGTAAATATTGCTCTCATCTGTTGAGATCATTTGGGTATGTAATAGTGAGGTTAGACACAGGGTGTTTGGAAATGATGGTAAAGCAGTTGATAAGGTTGTGAATCTACATCGACTCAGATGGTTGGGCCACGTGTTACGTATGCCCAACCACCGATTACCACGACACCCAATGCTGACTAGTGTTGGGAATGGTTGGAAAAGAGTTAGAGGCGGCCAAACCAAGGCGTGGCATCAATCCACAATGTCACTAACTTCTGGTGTGAACCATGTTGGTGGATGCAGACTACTTGGTTATGGTCTGAGAGACTATCGTATCCAATCGTTGGAGACTGTGTGACATGGCTAAAAACTGATCACAGTGGCGTAAGTATATACACTCTTTGTCTTTCCTTAAACCATGAGATTAAAATTACTCTATACATTTCTTTCTACGAACTATTTCTTTCTCTTTGTATCATATATGAATCTTGTATCTTATATGAAATATTTATTACTACCATTGAAGTAACTGCTTCTATGAATTTGGTGTTCATCTTGTTGTGCTATTGAGGTGTGGCAACTGTGATCACTTAGATTTCACAATTATTTAACATTACTGGTAATTCAATAACCTCTAACACACTGTGTTATTTTCTCCATGGATTAAATTAAAGCTCATTGACTGGACTAAATTTTTCTAAAGTTTGCATTGACTGAATCTATATGAATTCGAAAGTAAAAAGTTGAAGATATGTCTATAGGTGAAATGCTTTATTTTTTCCCTCATGTTTCATCTCGGCTATAACTTGTTTGTTTTTTTATTTTTTTTTCTTGAAGGATGCCATTAGAAATATTGTAAATCGTCAGTCCAAAAATAACTATAATACCGTATCTCGAACTGAGGGTAATTATTGCATTCATGTGCCCAATTTATCAAAATCAATAAAAATGGAACTTTTTGGGAATTACTCTACCAGTAATTCTTCCAGTAAGTATCTTGTTTGCTTCACAACTTATGCATAATTCATCGGAATGTATTTATCGTTATCATTCAATTATAGCAGTAGTCACTACTTCGATAAAGTGATTTAGTACTGGAGAAAGTGACACAGCGAAAAAGGTCGTTTTAAAATGTAAATAATTATGGGACGATTGGCTCAAAACGCCTCACATTTTACACCATACAAACAGTTGTATATTTAAATTCATTTAGTATTGTTTGTTTGAATCTTCCCATTGATATTTTTGGACTGCAACTGGTCAGTCTCTAATTGGCATATGTGCATACTGTGCGTCTATCTTTGTTTACCATGCTTGTGAATTTAGGCTATATCGAGGCAATATGCACAGTATGCACATATGCCAATTAGAGACTGACCAGTTGCAGTCCAAAAACATCAATGGGGAGATTCAAACAAACAATACTAAATGAATTTAAACTTCACCCCATGGCACAAGCAAGTGGCTATCAGGACTTAGTGGTCGAGTGGATAACGCGATGGCGTTTGAAGCAAAAGGTACTGGGTTCGAGTCCCAGAGTGAACATCAACAAGTCTGAGATGCAGGTACATCCATCTGACGAGTCCCAAATAGGACTAAACGCGTGTCCTGGGTTCCACTGTTAGCCACTATCCATTTTTGCTTACCATAGTTGTATATTTAGTATAAATATCCCTTATGAAATAGTGGTGGCTTATAATGAGTTATATCAATAGACGAACTGCCAGTAAGTGTGCTCTGAAAATCCGAAGTTCAAAATAATAGTAATATATATAATTCCGTATTAGCGAAATTATAGTATATAGACAAGGTAAAAACAACCAAAATGAATTTTCAGCTATCTTCTAGCCGATCAGAAAACAGCCATTTTTAAATTAATAGTTTATAGAAAGGAAAATAATAGTGCCAAGTTTAAACCAATTTTACATAATTAATTAGTCAATGAATATTATTTCTACAGGTTACTTAGCCTGTTTATCCAAAAATACAGCGACATATAAACTCGTCCTATTGTACATTTATTGTCTATTTTAATGAACTTTTAAAAGGACCAACATTGTTCTTAGTTAGGTTTAGGTAATTAGGATAAGGGTTAGGGGTTTAGGATTACAGTTTTCAGCACTAAAATACATTAGCTATAAGGCGAAAGTGGATGGATGGATTTCGTCCACAAATGTAAGAGACACCGTCTGATTAGCTCATCCATAAAATGTATTGGCACCAAGTTAAGGTTTGTCTCATAATTAATAGTTTAGGAGTAAGAATTAAAGATAGTCTACATTTGCATAAAAAGAGATTGAGCTAAGTTCTTGATACATTTAACACTGTAATATTTATTGGTGTTTTGAGTAGTATGCAAAGGTATTCTACATTATATTTGAAAAGTCATAGCAAGTTCTACATTACCTGTGATTATTTGAAAGTGTTTGGGGCTGGATGGAAATGAAGACAGGTGGTCAGTGTATGATGTGACACTGTGGTATGAAATATAGTTGTATAGGCCTAACATATATCTGTTTGTCAAGACAACTCTGTTGGTATCCTAGGGATCGTGGAACTCAGTAACTTGGAAAGTTAGCAATTATGGTTCGGTAGTGATGCTGTTGTAATCTTTTCATTGAATCCTAGATAAATGTGTAACAAACTCACGTCAATGAAAAAAGTTGCGATTGTATTTCCAAATGAATTGTATCTTTCATTTATTACCATTTTAATTTAATTATTTATTGAATAATGGCATGACCGTATTTTTTCTTCATAATATTAATATTCCACTTTTTGTGGCTAGTTCGATATACTACTTTAATACCATTAGAAAAATAATCATTGAAACGTTAACACATCAACCAAATAGAATCATAATCTCTTTCTTTTAATTAAATATATACCGGCGAAATCGTATACATGTATAATGTGGCTTAGTAAAGTAGTTGGTAAACACTCGAAAGCCAGCTTTAAACCTTGTTTTTTTATTCACATGTTATCACTCTAACTAAAATAAGTTTACAATAGAATGAAAACATATACCATTCAGGGATTGCTAATAAATCACATTAGTCTTGTAGCTGTTAAATGTAAACTTGTTTATAGTGTATCACTGTACAAACAAGATTGTTGTGTTATGTAATACCTATCTCTATTTTAAAATTCAACTATCATAGAAGGTTCTTCTTCCAGCAATTAGTAGATATTAAATTTCTTGTTGAATATCTAGAAAAAAGATACACCTGTTGATTGTATACGTTTTTATTAATTTGTCAACAAATCCATTTATTCAGTGTAATTGTTTCATTATCTTCATAGTTGAAATCATGAGTCAATTGAAGCTAGACTACCCTGGAAAACCTGGAAACACTGGACGGCCGTTTCGTCCTATTATGGGTTCCTCTAGCGAGTGCGGGATCGTGAATGCACACTGCTGAGGTGTCCCCATAATAGGACGAAATGGTCATCCAGTGCTTCCAGGTTATCCATGGTAGTCTAGCTTCAATTGACTCATGATTTCAACTATGAAAATGCTGAAATCTCCACAAAACTCCTTCTGTTTTATTATCATATATGAAAACAATCGTGCTTATAAAAAGTGTCTACTTAAGTAGTATAATTAAACTTAATGAATTTGTTTGTTGTAATCTGGTTGTTTTGAACGTATTTTTTTCAACTTTCAAGTTGGATTAATATTTCATTAAGTAAACTTGACTTGAATTATGCATGAATTTAAATTGTTTTGTTTTTCTGTAATATAGAGATTCTACAACGTTGGGAACGTTTTTATCATCAGGCTGATTATAATTTCTGTGATTTCATACGAATCAGGTGAGTTTTACATTTTTATTTGTTCTTTTAAAACTAATGATAATACAATTAAGGGTGGTGGAATACATAAGGGGTTTTGTGGAGATTTAGTATTTTCATAGTTGAAAGCGTGACTCAATTGAAGCTAGACCACCATAGAAAGCCCGGAAGCACTGGACGGCCGTTTCGTCCTATTATGGGACTTCTCAGTAGAACGAAATGGCTGCAGAACCAAATGAATTCCAATGGTCAAATAAGATCACAGGATAGACAAACATTTTCCTCCATTGTGAAACATTTGGTTAAAACTGGTCATAAGTTTGACATCAAGTCAGCGTTTGTAGTGTTGTACAAAAGCCTTCACGGACATATACTAAGTTTTATTGAAGCCTTGGCTATATGGAAATCGAAACCCCCTTTATGTGTTCAAAAACAATTTGTTCTTGGCCTTAACCTACCCTGGTAATGCTGACTTATTATCCAGAGTAGTTATCACATTGTTTTCGTGTACTTTATTTTCTTTCTTTGCTACGGTTTACCTTAACCTGTCTAGTTGACCATTTATTTATATATATATATATGTTCTGAACAATTATATGTGTGATCAGATTGTTCGAAATGTATCTCGCAAATATAGAACATAATTCTGATAAGCTTCGTTTTCTCATTACATTATCGAAATTTATCGAAGGGACTAATTATTTAAAATTAATGATAATACTGATATTAAACAGATATCATTCTAGTAAATATATGTACATTAAATTATAGGATAGTGGTTACTTGTTTTAGCCAGCTGATTTTCAGTCATTCGGTCTAGGTTCCAAAGTTTTGTCAGTGTAGTAGTGGTCTCATCACCATCTTTGCATAAATATTTATCACTTATTCGCTGATATAAATGTACGTTTTGTTGTCAGGACCTACCTTCATTTCGTTGTTGATTGATTGGTGTGTTCCGGTTACTCTGGTTCTTGTTAACTTCGTCGTCACATGTGGGAGTTAATAATGTCCGACTATTGTCATTCTGTGGTGAACAAGAACACAAGTGTGGGACAACTAAATGGATTTGAATACAAAATTAAAGAATCTCGTAGTAAAATCCGAGGTCCATACAGTAAATACTTCATTTGAAAAATGTCAATTAATCGTCTCAGACTTTATTGTTCTGTCGTTTCCACACAAATCACTCACCTTTCTCGTTCTCTTTTCTTTGATCATCTTAACCTTCTGTCTCCAGGTACTTCGATTTCGGTTGATGATACATACAAATTACATCTGTCGACATCAGTAGCACACATCACAATTGTTTACAAATATGTATACGATCAATCTCGAATCTTCAGTGTAATTTTATATCATACAAGAAATGTTTAATTTCTTAGGTTAAAAGTTCACTCTTTCCAATGGCTATTAGCAAAAACAATTTTCAGATAGCATATTCTACTGAATAACTATGTAACATCAACATTAAACAACTGTATATTACCAGGTACTTTGAGCCGTTGTAGTGCCGTGCTTCATTAATCGTTTAGTTCGATAACCGTTATTATACCTATCTTAACGGTGTATAGAATCAGAAGGCGAAAGGAAGCTGCAACTACATTTTTATTAACAAATGACGTAGGTCATAAAGCTATGAGCACATGAGCATGTTAGCGAGCGAAGCAAACATGACACGTATTGTAGACGGCTGGTAAGCCAACTCGAGAGCGAAGCCAAAATAATGCATATTGGAGATGGCGGGGAAGCCAACTCGCTATGGGCAAGCATCACTCAATATTTATAGTCAGACAAAAATAAATGACAGACGTATGATGAATAAGATACGAAGTGTGCATACATATACGCTCATATAAAAATATAGTCAAGGTTAATAAGCAAATAATTAACAAGATCAAAATATGTCTCATAATGAACAGGCAAATCGGGTTAACCAGTAGCTAGAATAAAGTATATGGGCTTAACATATAAACTGATGCTACACCGTTACTTGGTACACTATTTGTATAATATTGCATCATTTAATGCATTCACTCTTCAAATTGCTATATCTTGTGGTCGCCAATTTTTATAATTTGTTGCTCTCCAATTGGAATGCAGTGAATTATCAATCGAAGCAATGTCACACGAAACCCGTACGAGCAGTCTAGAGTACTTGTCCATCTTAGTATCTGCCCAGCCCAGCCAGTTCAATCAGGAACACCAATAACAGCCTCTGCAATATGATGGGTTTATTTCAAGCATACTGAGTTTATATACCAAACAAACTGACCACATCTTACCAATAAAATAGAAAATAACATTTGTACAAGATTTGTCCAAAAGTGTCTGTGAATGTGGGAAACAGTAATTGATAGACTAAGGGATAACTCAAGAACGGTAAATCGTATAATAGTAGTCTATGGGTCATAACAAAGCTTATAATGAGAGGAACATGAATAGTTTAGTTATTTAGCATTTATACAATAGGAAATACACATATCATACTGGTCCATAAATAGTTCTCGAAATTTACCATTCACAATTATCTCTGGGATATAACACAATTCATTTATTATTTTTATTTTAAAATTTTTCTTTTGTAGATATGCTTGGGATAAATATCTTAAGATGGATATTCCTACTAATGAAAATGTATTAGATAGTTTAACTAATTTACAATTACCGAATAGTTGGATCTTACCTCAAATGAACAACAATCATCATCAAAATGACCAAATTGATAATATAAAGAAGAAATGGGATAAATATCTTAAGCCAATTCCCTGTTGTTATACATAATTCATTTATTTCATCTGTTATATTGTAAACTGTATTCAACTGATTATTTCACCTGTATATTATCATTATTATTTATAATGTCAATTGTTTCCCCCTTTTTTTTAAAAAAGATGTACATTATTTAAATGAAATTAACTTAATACAAATCAATTTACATTTGACGATAGTTTAAACATTATAGAAATAAACTATTCTGTGATTCATTTATTCATTTGATCTAATAAGAGATTATTACAAAAAAGTATATTTTCTTGTATTGTGGTGTTGTCTACTTATATCTATATAAGTAGTACATAGTGTGGGTCAAACATAGAATGTATTTTGGCAGAAGACCGATGAGGAAAGAACTGAAACGATGCACAATCATTAGGAAAATGCATGAGCAATGGAATTAGAGAAGAAACAGTGAAGATTGAAACAATTGGTTGTTAATTTGCAAATTGACTGTTCATTGTTTGATTATCAAAATTTCAAAATTTGAAAAATTCCCATATTGTGATTTAGAACAACATATATAAGCGAACAATATTGTTTTCGATTAGATCCTCATCAGGCTTTACTCTAATATACAGTAATATTTATATGCATATACGAAATTATTAAACCAATCAAGGCAGTTTATGAGTCAATGATAACAGTGGAATAGATTACATAATCAAAATTAATAATAAGTGAAAAGTACAAATTGGTAGTGAAATGACAGGTGTACTAGTTGTGATAAGAATAATAAAAGGCTTGAATCAATGTTACATAATAGGGAAATAGGTCAATGATTAGAAAAAATATAGACACTGAAATAACATTTATAGAAATTATAAGATTACGTAATAAGAAGTGTTCAGATAATTGGAAGCGAAAATTAGAAAAAATTATAAGTAAATAATTGATAGGGGGGTTAAGAAAGAACAAACTAAGAAAGTGTATGGAAAATAAAATTATTTATTAAGGCCAAGGTAGAGATAAGGGTGTTACAAATTTCTTATGAACACAAAGACTTGGGTTGTTGGATCGAATTCCTATAGCTTCTGCTATGTGTAGGAGACGAGATCGAACCCCATAAGGAAAAATAGTAGGAATATGATAAATAACTTTAAAAGACTGGTTTCTGTCAACTTCATGACCGCTATCAATCAAGTGTGAAAGAATCGAGCTCCGTATCGACTTGACCATACCTTTTCCTAACCACGAAGGGAGGTGTTCACTAACTCTGGTTCAATTGTCTGTTAGTGCGCCCAATATAGCTTTCTCCACAGGAGCAGCTGAATTTATAGATACACATAGAAGTGGCATAACCAGGCAACTTATCCTTTAGTTGGGGAATCACCATAGATCGTGTCGAGTAAGAAAGAAAGAGGTCGGCAGCATTAAACGTTCTCTTAACTGCTTTAGTCAGTCTATCCCGTAGTACATCATCAGCTAAATCGCCGTTGAATTGTAGTTTCAGGAAGAGTGGTTTCTTCGCGGCTGTTGATATCTTTACTTTCTTATTTGTTGAATGTAAATGTTTATTCAGGAATCCTTGTGGATAACCCCTTTCAATCAACATATTATGGATAACCTCTAGCTCATTGTTGATAGAATCGACTGAGCAAATCTTCCTAGCTCTATTTGCCAGACATCAAAATTTACCGAGATAGTCTGTAATGTTTGCTTAAATACATTCGATTGTCCTCAACCGGTGTTCTGTTCACTACAGTATAAGCAAAGATGAATATTGGCTAGCAGTAGAATCTAGGACGCGCGTTTCGTCCTACTTGGGACTCGTCAGCTAAATGTACTTGAAGGACAAAACGCGCGTCCTGGATTTCACTGCTAGCTACTATCCATCTTTGCTTATAATGCTTGTGAATTAAGGCTATATCGAGGCAATACGCAGAGTATGCATATATGCCTATAAGGGACTGATCAATTGCAGTCCTAAACATCAATGGGAAGATTCAAATAAACAATATTAAGTGAATTTATATTTTTTTATGTTTGTTTTCTATACAAAAAGAATTCATCATCATAATTATAAAACACATACAGTATACTTAGTAAATAATTGAATGTAGATTAGATTTTCCAAGTTATCAGAAATAGTGAATATATAGATCATTGTTTTAAACTAGCGCCAATTCTAAATTGTTTTACTTCAGTCAATAATTTTTGTTGTTTTTCCAATTACACCTACCAGTTCGTACAATGTATTATGTAATCAAAGTAAACAGGGCCTAATTACACAAAGTGATTGTTTATTTCTGTGTAATAATAAATTTTGATAGAAAAACTTGATACAGTATTAAAGGTATCCACTTCTTAAAAGTAAACAAAAAGCAACATGTAATCAAAAAATGTGTCAATTAATTTAACACTGAGGTAATTATACTAAGTAGTAAGTGCAAAATAGTTATAGACTACTTTATATAAAAGAATAAAAATGCCCATATTGTAACTTAAAACAAGACAAATAACCTAACAATATTGCTTTCAGTTAGATCTTCACCCGGCTCTACTCTAAAAGACAGCAATATCTATAAGTGTATATGGTAATATTGAACCCACCAAAGAAGTTTATGAGTCAGTAATAACATAACTAGACATAATAAGTAAAATGTACAAATTGATGATATGAGAACAGATGTACTAGTTGTGACAAAAATCATAAAAGCTTAAATCAATATTTCATTATAGGGGTTAGGTCACGAACTTTGCAAAATGGACAGTGAAATAACATTCATGAAAATTTGTTACATAAACTATTGAATGTTCGGATAATTAGATTGTGATGAATATATCCACAAAAGATCTGGAGAGAAAAAACGAAGAGTATTGAATATGACAGCAAAATCGTTTGCTAACCCTGATTAGGTCAAAGAATAGACGAGGATGCTTTAAATTCTTTGTAAATTTGAAGACGTGGATTATTATTGTTATATCTTGTGGCCGAGTGGATGGGTAGTTGATGTGTGACTTGATGAGACCGCCAATTAGGGAGAGCGAATTCTCGATTGGAACAGTGACACGAAACCCGTACGAGCAGCCTAGAGTGCTAACCGGTCCTGTGATCTGCCTAACCCAGCCAGTTGAGTCCAGAACACAAATAACAGCCTCGGCAATATGAATCATTATTTACAAACATAATGGGTTTTTATACAAACCAAAGTAATCAACAACTGAGTATAACTCAAGAATCGTATGATAATAAATCAAAGATCAAAATAGAGCTCACGATAAGAGAAACACAAATATGAATCGTTTAGTTACGTAACAATTGTACAATAGGAAATAGGCATAATATATTGGTCGATAAATGGTCCTTAGAGTTACCATTCATAATTCACCAGGGGATATAACAATTATCATTCTAGCTTCTGTTATACGTAAGGGACGAGATCGAACCCCATAGTATGTATAGGGGTAGGTATACAATAAACCACTTTATATTATTTATATCTACCACGTGACCGCCATCAATCCAATGTGACAGAATGGAACTGCGTATTGTTTTGACGATACGTTCGAACCAATAATGGAGGTGTTAACTAACTCGTTGGCCAAGTTACCTGGCTGTATTTCAGATCTAGCAATCTGCTAACTAGTTTCTTCACATATTTGCATATACATGAAATCATCTACCCCTGTGGATTAAATTTTTTTCATATACGCATTTAAATGTTTCTGCATAATAGAGTAAATACTTATGAAGATTTAAATGAAAGCAATATTGTTTTGTTATATGTTACTCTACCTAATATAAGCAATAATCATTTGTACGATGATGATTATGTAGTTCACCACCTAGTTTACTGGTTATTACGTCTGCTTAGATTTTGTATCTGTTTGTAATCGCCTTTCAAAAAAGGGAAAACTGATGATTATCTTCACAGGTTAATTTTTATTGTTAACAGTCGACGATGTATGTAGGATACTCAACTTATGCTGTGATTATAATAAATGTACCCATTGACATTCTATTTTGTTTAAGTTTAAAAATTCTTAGCTTTCTAGTGTAGAACCATATGGCTTTTATGTTTCATGGAGTGTATAAACAGTGAGTGATTGGATTAAATTGTCAAGTGTTCAGTTTACCTTATACTCGCAGAGTTTTATGAACGACATTGATTGATGGTTAAGTCTACTTTCACATTGATCGAATTCTTCGAATAAATACTGTTAGTCAAGGACAAAATGCCTGCAAATAAACTGCTTAGCACCGGGATTCAATCGATATAATCAGTCATCACTGCTTATTTAGTGTGGCTTACGACAGTTATCTCTTACTAGCTGATTCTAGTAATGCTATTTTCCTAAATCTTCGACTGTGCTTTGAGTTAGTTGGGAAGACATACTGCACATCCCAGACATCTCATTTGATGATAATATACAACATTATTAAACTATTTATTTAGTACTCCTAGTTCAATCTCAGTATTGCTCACTCGTTGGTTCAATTATATACGAACAATGCTTTGAAATCGCTTATGATTCGTAACATTAGTTCTATCGTCCAAGAGCCAACATTTCTAATGTAAAAGAATAGAAACTCATCCCTACACTAAGTAATCAATTAATCAGTCAGTGTAGATTTTGAAAAAAACAAGAATCTCTCATACTTTTGTCAAATATGTGATCTATAAATTTGTTAAAGGCGGGCCAATTTTCCTATGATAGTCTTGATAAATTCTATGTGAAATCGTTGACCTGAATAACTTAATTGATTAGCCTTCACAGGAATTCTCTTTTTATAATGAGATTCTATTCACACCTTATTGTGTGTTTTTTTTTTAAACTAGACAGTAACAAAACAAATTGTCCATTTACCTTTAAGACTTTTATACGTTCTCAATATGTCCACACTTTAATTTATCTTAGATAATCATACTCGTGGTACGTGAATAAATAATAAGTAAATAGATATGATTATTAATTATGTGTTTTAATTAACAATCTATTGAGTTTTCCTTTCACCTTCTCAAAACCATCTGTCTGTTAACTTTTTATCGTCTTTTAGATTCAATGAAAAACTATTCGTGTTTTCTTTTCTTTTTAATTAGATTGGTGCATTAAAATTTTTTTTTCTTTTATCTATGGTTATTCATTATATTGAGCATATGAATTGAAATTAATTCAATTACTCACTAGGTGGTAGTCATCAATTCATGTTTATTTAACCTTTATGACTTAACATCAAAAAGGAAAGAAAAAAAAAGTGGGGGAGGGGGGAGGTAGTGGTGATTGCCAATAATTTTAGTAAATCAAAATGATCCATTTTTAAACTTGACAATAATATTAAGTTAAATTAGCCTAAAGGTAAATAAAAATCAAATACATTTAAATAACAACAATAAAACAAAAAAAAATTATTCTATGACAAAAGAACTTTTATTAATTTTTTTTTATGATTTTGAGTAGATGAATTTTTTTATATCTTAAAAAAAATAAAAAAAACAACCGATTCGATAGGTGAATTTCCTACAAACAAATTTTTCTTTCTTTTTTTTTCGTTTTTCTCTTTTTTTTTCTTCTTTTTTTTTTAATACAGACATTAATGTTTATTGAATACTAACCAATACTGAATGAATAAATTCAATGAAATATGTGTATATTTTAAAATTCCCGATGAAATTCGATTATGTCAGAAGTGATCAGATGGTTTGTATTACTGCGATATATTGTATTTGCCTTCAGGCTTATATAATAGATAATGACTAAATGAAATGTAGATTAAAGAAGAAGAAGAAGAAGAACTGGAACAAGTCAAATATTAATGAAACAATTCTAATTATATATATATATGTACACCTCATTGATTTGATTAAAACAAAAATGAAAAAGTTTTAATACATATAAGCTAAATGATATGCTCATATCACTTTGATTATGATCATGTAAATCATATCAACATATGTATACTAAAAAAAGAAATTTATGAGTAACTTTCATAGTTCATTCAATTTTTATGAATGTGATTGATTGAAATCATCATTTGTGCGTGTGTGGTATGTACAAATGGAACAGATGGATGGTATTGTAAAGAAAACAAAACTATTGACTTTATTCATTTATCTATAAAAGTAGACTATTTTATGAAGAATAATAAAAATATAAAGAAATAGCTGATGATTATCAAGAGAAAATTATTATAATTAAAATTTCAATACTTGAAATCATAAGTCAATTGAAATTAGACCACCGTAGAAAACCTAGAAGCAACGGAAGACCGTTTCGTGGGACTCCTAAATAGTGAACATCCACGATCCCCTCTCGCGAAATTCAAACCCAGTACCTATCAATCTCGCGCCAGAGCATTTAACCGATAGACCACTGAGCCAGTATCCAACGTTGTCAATATCTAACTTAAACCAATCCATGAAATTCAGCAACCATTCACCAATGTCTTCGGTTAGTTGATATCTCACAACAGACCACGTTGAACTCCACTGGTTACTGCTTCTCACTAGAACTCCAAGAAATATCGCATGGAGCCAGTCACTAGTGAGCATATGATCACTATCAGAATGGGTTTTTGTGGAGATTTTAGTAATTTTATACAGTTGAGATCATGAATCAATTGAAGCTAGACCACAATGGAGAACCTGGAAGCAGTGGAAGGCCGTTTCGTCGTATTGTGGGACTCCTCAACAGTGCGCATCCACGATGTTAATTTAAATATATTAAATTAAATTAAATTACAAGAATAATTATATTTCATGTTAATGAATAAAGTTTATAAAAATTCTCTCTAAATGTAAAGACGATCGAATGTTGACGACTTAATCAATAATTAGATTGTCTAAGATACATTTTAGTTGTCAAGAATACTGTTCTTATTTCTATAATAGTGATAAATAAACCTGAATTGTCTCTGAATTCAAATGAACAAACGTTTATTCATTAGTGTGCTGACCTAGAAACCCATTTAAGTAAAAAGAAAACGTGCTTTAATTAGATCCTGTAGTTTTTCTCACAGCTGTCTATGTTGATGGTATGTTAAAATACCTACGTAGCGTATTGACTAGCTCTTTTACACTCATCTTGAAGATCTTAAAAGACTCAAACAGTGGCCATTTAAGAAATCGAATTTAAAATGTTGTCATCTGAAAGTGGACATTTAATTAAATTCACAACTATGAATTTGGTTTATTTTGTACGGAAAATTGTCTGAAATATAACAAAAGTGATTAAACTTATGTTAAGATATCAACTGACATACTGAAAAGGATATTTGAATCAAAAATGACATAGAATCTGGTTCTTAATGTTGAACAATCTCTAAGGATCAGTTTTTAGTAGCAGTCGAAACTCTTTCGACCAAAATAAACTGGTAATAGATTTCAGAAAACATGAAAATGACTAGTAACCAAGTCAGGATCCCTTTGAAGGAAATGATTTATGATTAGTATTTCAGGTTAGTATTAACAAACTTTAAAGTTCAGGTTGATATACTACGTATTGTTTGTTCCTATAGTTTGAATTACAATTTTCGCCATCTATCCACAACCACTAATTAAACCAAACTAAATCTCATATTCAAATAAAATGAAAAAATATTCAACTTAATTCACCACACACTTATCAACTTTTTTAAATGAGAGTGGTAAAGCTTAACAAGACAGATAATATAGAGTGTAGTGTAAGTAATATTTCTGTTAATAGATTGCAATCAAATCATTTAGTGTATAAAATCAAACAAACAGCTTACTAAAAAATTAAACAATATATTCCAATAAATAAACCATTAAAATAGTAGTCACTTATTGAAATCCCTTTAATTTAATTATTAAGCAAATTTCAAAAAAGGTATCTCGTTGTATCTACCACCCAATGTCGATGATCATTAATGAAATCAATGTTCAACTTGATCTTGAGAGAGTAACATTCGATGATTTATTAATCAAATTAATCAAGTAACTGGTTAATTCTTTCTGAAGAAACTATTATAAGTATATGTCAATACCTTGACTTTTTACGCTTAATGTATGAAGGATTCGAACAGCTTTACTGATGTGTTTTAAAAGTATAAAATTTCAGTCTAATAATTTGATGTATCATTAATTTGATGAGGTCGGTTTAGGTGGCCATTAACGCTCAATTTTAGGTCATATTTTTATAAAGAATCTTGAACAGACGAAATTAAAACACTCAGTCAGCAAAACAATAATAATCATCATCACAGAATAAACGGTACACTGACGATTACTTATCCAGTAGAAAGGATTGTTAATTCGCATAAAACTAAATATTTTCTAATGACTAATCGGAAATCCCTCTTCTTTTAATTATCTGACTGTACCTATTCGCTAATTTTAATTAGCCAATTATGGACAAGTAAATATAAACCAATCATATAACGATAAGTCAGATCTATGCAATCCAATATTATCCAATCAAAATAAGCTTATTTTTATATAAATAAATAGTAAATAATTATTCAAATATCATTTGACATTAACAAAACAGACTGACTTACATTTCCATCTATGAATTACAGTGTAAATAATTTAGAAAATACAGAAAGAAGTTCCATACAAATTAATGTTTCTGACAATTCTTTATATAATAATGTCAATCATGATAATATCAGTAGTGATTCTTTAACATCGGCAAATTTAATTTCAAAGACAACTACTCCAATAAGACCCAAATCTCGTTTATTGGCTAAATTAATCAATAAAAGGAAACGTGAAACCATGCAGTTACGTAATTCTCTAAGGAAAACCAATAATAAAATGAAAACTAATCATTCGAATCTATTCGGTGTGGATTCGAATATGCACGATAGTCATAACGTTGAGAACCATGCAATTACTACTGATCTAGTACCTCCAGTTACAGATGAAGAATTACAAGAGTTACGTTTAAATATTAATCAACGTGAAAGACGAAGAATGCATGATCTAAATTTAGCTATGGATGGATTGAGGTAGATGGAAATTGTAATTTATTTGATGTCATTTATTTTAACAATTTTTTTTAAAACGACCACCTAATTTCAGATTCAATGTAAAATGACAGACAGTGCCGTCATTCGTAAGATTAAACCCTTATGCTAATAAGAAATGAACAGTGTAGGTTATAAATATCAACAACGGGAAGATCCAAACCCTTGAACATATTAAACTTTTTGATTTAGTTCGACATAAGTCAGTCAATTATTGATTGTCATAATACCAAGTAAGAAGACACTAGAATGCTCCTACCTTGTGAGTGGTTACTGGATTAGATTTATTTTTGACATAAATAAGGAACATTCTTGTTTAAGTACAACCGATCAATAAATATTGGCTACATGTCTTGATACAGAAACGTGTTTTTCAGATCCTTCAGAGACCCAAGTTTGTTTGTAAGGTGTAGAATAGTTTCTAAAGTCTCACCCTAAGTGTTTAACTTCAACTAATCCACGAAATTACACCAATACTCACCACTAACACCGTCGGATGCCGTTTCAGTGGTCTAGAGGTTAAGCGTTCGCGCGCGAGAACGATAGATCTTGGGCTCGAGCCCCGCGAGCGGGATAGTGGATGCGCACTACTGAAGAGTCCCATACTAGGACGAAACGGCTGTCCAGTGCTTCCAGGTTTATCGTAGTAGTCTGGCTTTAACTGACTCATGTATTCAACTATAAAATTACTAAATACTCCACAAACCCCCCTTCGGATAATTTCGTATATGTGATGTAAATTATTTTTGAAGTTAATATACATATTCATCACTACTTGTCTTTATTTCGACACCTTATTTACTGGTTAAATGTATACAGTCATATTCATCTTTGGGATATGATGATTAGTTTTATCTTTAATACTTATAAGCAAATGTTAATGTGTTCACCATTCAAAATAGCAGTTTGTTACCACTTTGTGTTATAAGTAGTTATGTTACAGATGGTCTATTCAGTTTTTCTATCATCGAAAATTATTCTGGGCAAAAGAAACGTTGGATATTATCTAAGATGACAGTTTGATAGATAAAGGAAAGAAACGTACAATATTGTATAGAAATGGTGATTTAATTCCTAGGCTCCACTCCAATGTGGAACAAAATCACTAGAAAGTTTTTTTTAAAACAGTATTGCACAGAAAACTAGTAGATATAAAGGAATGAGGCAATTAAGCTTTCATCAAATGCTAAACGAATAAAAGTACGTCTGTACTTTCGTAATCAGATTTGAGTTAAATCAAGAACTAATTTGAACTAGAGATTTCTAACATCTCAAAGGCTTTATTTATGATCCTCATTTTTACGTTTAAATTGAATATCGAGATCAACAGATGGATTGATTCATGTAAGGTTTTATTCCACTTATTCGTCTAGTCTTTACATCTGTCATCTCTATTTATTTTTCCAAGTCCCTACTTAATATCTATAACTAATTGTTAAACCATGTCGTTTAGTGCAGGTTCAAAATCTTACTTGTCAGTCAGTCAGTCAATCATAACGTAGAACTTCGTACGTACGTACATCAGTTCGAGTTGCCGCACCACATTAGCACAGAGATGCAGTTGTCGATTCCAATCCCATAGTGGTTGAAGTAGTAAGAGTATAAGCATTAATGTGTAGGATTAAGGTTTGAAGATGTTGTTGAAGGAGTATAATCCAGAACAAACAATGGATTTAATGGAATATCGTGAACGTCATATGTTATCTTTCCTTACTGATCATATTTTGTAGCCATAACCTACCACAAGGCTACTTGCTAATCCTCAGAATTAATATTAAATAAATTAATTGTATTAAAAGCATATTGTATATTTCTAGTGTGAAAACTGTTAACAATAACTGCCAACATTAAATTATGTTTGTAAGTCATGGTTTGAATTCGAATTATTAGAACATTTTCATGTATAGTCTATAGGGTATTTATCTGCCAACTTTTTAGGTTTATGTGTCATTGAACTATACTACAATTTTCAGGTATATTAATTGGCAGTGTTTTACCGATGGGATTCGAATCTTATTCACTACTTTAGATTACTTAGAATAAACAACTGTACAGTTATTCATCACCTTCTTTGATTTTCTAGTCGAATGTAATTTGAACTTCAGTTAATTATAATAGGGGATTCTTTAGTTTCTTAACCATTAATTATTATGTAACCACTTGTCTTTTAGGCGCCATGTTTTATGCTTGTCTTAATTGTTTTTCAGCAAGCAGATTAAATACATTGATTTAAAAGGTTATTCTTTTGTTTCTAGGTCTGTGTTGCCATACACACAAAATTCATCCGTGAGAAAATTATCCAAAATTGCAACTTTATTGTTAGCTAGAAATTACATTCTTCTTCTTACAAAAACCTTGAATGAACTACAAGAAAAGTTAGATATTATATCACAAAGCCATTCAGCATATCAATATGAATCCATAAAACCAACTATTCTTGCTGAATATCCACAGCCAACTGTTTCTACTGATTCAATGAAATATTTACCAATAGTATCTTCAGTAAACTCCTCATTATTTCCATTATCACCACCAACTCTGTCCTCATCAGTAGCCAAATCAACTGTTTTATCTCCTAGTTCTTCCACTTCATTCATTTATCCAGTATCAACCACTTCAATATTACAGTCAGTCACAAATTCATCTTTATTTTTACCATCTGGAAATCAATACAAAGATAACAGCGAACAAACTATTCAGAATTCTATGCTTATACAAGATGTCAATGATAAAGTTAATATTATATCCAGTAATTTTATGTATCCAACATTTAAACCGTTATTTCCATTTCTTAATCCTAATTTAATGAATAATTTAAACAATACTATTATCCTTGACAATAATATTAGTAACCATCGAAACAACAACAACAACAACAATAACATTAGTGATAATGATTCAATGGTTAAAAGTCAAGGTGTACATTTCAAACTCATTGATTCATCATCCCTTTCTATTTTATCCAATTATCCATTTATAGATAAATTAGATCATTTGAATAGAATGAATAATGATCAATTCAATTTAACAAATCTATCATATCTCTTTAAAGATTCTGAAATGAATTCAATGTTTAAATTAAATTTTATGTCTACACCTTGTAGTTACTCAACAACTCAATATACAATATAATCTGTAAATATGTATAGAAATCAAAGATGTTTACTATGCCTTTCTAAAGAAAAAAGAAGAAGAAGAACATATATGTAAACCTATTTCTTATTGAATGAATATCAAAATTTTTGTTTTATTAAATGAGTCAATTTTTTAAATAAACAAACTTCAGATGTATAAAGTTGCTACCTTAATGTTCAGAAGGGGGTTTTGTGGAGATTTTAGTAATTTTATGTGGTTGAGATCATGAGTCCATTGAAGATAGACCACCATCGAAAACCTGGAAGCACCAGACGACTGTTTCGCTCTATTGTGGGACTCCTCAGACGTGCGCATACACGATCCCACCTCGCAAGATTCGAACCCAGGAACTACCAGTCTCCCGCCAGAGCACTTACCCGATGGATCTCTTAGCTGGCGGGCATTGAACGGTCTTAATGTCTAACTTCATCCAATCCACGAAATTCAGCAACCATTCACCAATTGTCTTCAGTGAGTTGATATCTCACAATAGACCTCGTTGAACTCCACTGGTTACTGCTTCTCACTAGAACTCCAAGAAATATCGCATGGAGCCAGTCACTAGTGAGCATATGATCATTATCAAAGGGAGGTTTTGTGGAGATTTTAGTAATTTTATATAGTTGAGATCATGAATCAATTGAAGCTAGACCACCATGAGGAACCTGTAAGCACCGGACGACTGCTTCGCTCTATTGTGGGACTCCTCAGCCGTGCGCATCCACAATCCCGCCTCATGAGATTCGAAATTGGTGGATGGTTTTGATTCAAGGGGTTTGATAAAAGATATTTTCGTTAATTTCATAATCAATATGGTTCAATTTTGATCATATATATAGATGGTCAATGGAAAGAGTGAGACAGAGAGAGAGGGAAGAATTAGAATATCACTTGTTTGATAATCAAAAATAATTTCCGTCAAAATTTCTTACAAACTTAGAGAATATCATTTTAATAGTAAGAGTAATAGATCAATTCATCAATAACTAAGTGGTCACTTAAATGAAATGATCAATTCTGTCATTACCTACAAAGTTTACACCTAGATTCTGATTAAATTGAAAATATTATCACTGGTTTATTGTTCAATTGTAGTTTGATGAAGTAAAATTATCCTTTATATTCAAAATATTTGTTCAAGATAACAATATTTAACATATAGAGCTACACTTCTCATCAAACTACCATCGTTTTATGGCTTTTAGGAATCAGTAGCTTAGTGGATAACGCGATGGCGTTTGAAGCGAAAGGTACTGGGTTCGAGTCCTAGATGGAACATCAACTCCGAGATGCAGGTACATACAGCTGATGAGTCCCAAATAGGACGAAACGCGCGTCCTGGATCCCACCGCTAACCACTATCCATCTTTGCTTATAAAGCTTGTAATTTCAGGCAATATCGAGGTAGTCCGCATAGGATACACATATGCCAACAAGAGACTGATAAATTGCAGTCCAAATTAACAATAGGAAGATACAAGTAAACAACAACAAGTGAATTTATAAATAACAGTTATTAATCCTAAAAAATATCATAGAATGTAAATAATAATATTATATAGTGGGTTTATAGACGAGTAGATAACCAATGAGGCAAGCGCAAATAGATCTGAATGTGCTTTTTTTCTCAATCTCTGATAGTTAAGTGATGACCAAAATTTAAATAAAAATGTAAATGACATTAGAAGTAACAAAGAAAGAATAAATTGCATATATAAATATGAGTATCACTGAAGAATACATAGATTTGTGTTTGGGCGGTTGGGTGTGGGTCTTTGCCATCCTCAAAATGAACATGTATACAAATCACATATATACATATATATCTAATACCGGTCTCGTCCAGACAGGAATTTGTTGACAACAAACTCATTCATATGAGAAATTCATCCATACATAATTTACCTACTAATACATAGATTCTTCATCAGTTTGTCCCTGTGGTATCATATTATCCTTCTGGTCTTCCTCAGCAGATTACCTCACTTCCTTTAGAAGTATGTTTTTTTCTTTCAATTTAGTTTGAGTATAGATTGGGGGATGTATACTGACCGTTATGTCTGATTTTGATATTCAATTTATTGAGATAAGTACTAAACAACTCAGATTTCATTTCATGTAACTACTAAACATATAACAAAAATATTTATCATTCCAGTTTCCAGTAATGATCATCCATTTAAGTCACTGAGACAAATACAATGCTACATTTATGTAGGTATCCCCCTTCCAGCAATACAAACATAGTGAAGCCGAGTAGACCCTTCTGGAGAGGTACGGAACAACTACCGCGGTTCAATAGCTGTCTTTGCATTGCTTAGGCAGAATCATTACATCTTTCTTTTTTGGACAGATCTTTCTTTTATTTTTTGGGCAGACTCATTCTTTCTTTCTTTTTGAACCAACAATAATTATGCAATGATTCTTTGTAGCTTTCGTATTTATTTGTGGGTATAGGTAGAGTGGTTGATTAGGACGATTTCTACCACCCAGGTTACCCCCTCACGTTAGTTCATGGAAACAATCTCACTATCCAGGAGGCACGACGAGGATGTGTGAGTCGGGTTTCGCCTTCCTTAATGTAGGTATTCTGATACATTTATGTCTGAAGTATTAAATACCTGAAAAAAAAACAATTCGATGTGCAAATTCTTGTTTACGTGCTTATTTTGAAGCAAACTATATAGGTTGTTCATTCTGGAACATTTCGTAACATACCAAAAAGTACCTTCCGGTGTACATTAGTAAAGTATAGTAAAGAAAACTATGAAATCATCTATTTTTCAACAACTAATTGACTATAATCATTTAGCACCGAATTCATTGTTCAATATTATTATTAATATCCAATCCGGTTACATGGAAATTGTGCACCTTTATTTCACTTGTATTGTAGAAATGTTACTATATGGAAGCTAAAACCAAATCTGTGTGTATATAGACAGTTTCTATCATAATTTACCTCTTTCAACTGTAAGGTACATGAAGTTTATTCAAATTCTATTCCTTTTTATACTGATATTCATTTAATCGGTTGGACGTCAACTATACCATAATGGTAAAACACATGTGGTAACATCTTCCATTTCCCATGATACTTACGTCATTTACTTTATACAGTCTGATCCATCAATAGTGATTACATTCTATGAATGAGGCTTATTTATTCAATTAAATATTCATATAAGCAAGCAAGTTTTTCTTTACAAATTCACTTTTAAAACTTTAGAATTGATATTTTTACACCAGAAATTGAATTTCGTTTCGGTATTTAGAGATGAAAGAAATTCATTCTAAACAAAAAAGTGGTTAAAGATTAGATTTTACAATAATGCTAAATGTTGAATTGCCGAATAGCATGAAAACCAAGATCTAGGGTATTTAACCGACTATTTCCAATCACTATGTTGGTTGTTCTGTTAAGCCTACACAACTTATTCGAACTTCTGGACAGTCCAATTTATCCATTCTTCTTGATTATCAGAAGAGGTTTTGTGGAGCTTTAGTATTTTCATAGTTGAAAGCGTGAGTCAATTGAAGCTAGACTACCATCGAAAACCTGGAAGCACTGGACGGACGTTTCGTCCTACTATGGGACTCCTCGGCAGTGCACGCCCACGATCCCGCACACGCAAGATCCGAACCCATGATCTACCAGTCACGAGCCAGAGCCCTTAACCGATTGACTAATGCTTTCAACTATGAAAATACTAAATCTCCACAAAACCCCTTCTGATAATTAATATAATCATATGCTCACTAGTGACTAACTTCAAGATACATGTCCTGGAGTTCTAGTGGGAAGCAGTGACCAGTGGAGTTCAAACCACATCTGTTGTGAGATAGGAACTCACTGAAGACAATTGGTGATCGGTTGCTCAAGTTCGTGGATCAGTTGAAGTTAGACATTAACACCGTTGGATGCCGGCTTAATGGTCTATCGGTTAAGGGCTCTGGTTCGTGACTGGTAGATCATGGGTTCGGATCTCGTGAGTGCGGGATCGTGGGCGTGCACTGCCTAGGAGTCCCATAGTAGGACGAAACGTCCGTCCAGTGCTTCCAGGTTTTCGATGGTGGTCTAGCTTCAATTGACTCATGCATTCTTCTCGAGTCACGTTTTGATCGTGTTAATTATTCACTTATCAACCTTGGCTGTCTTTATGTAAGCGTACGTGTGTTCATTTCATATCTTACGCACCATATATCTGTAACTTATTTTTGTTCGGCTGTAAATATAGATTAACACCTGGTTAAATCAAGTTGGCTTACATGTCTTCTCGACTGAGCCCCATTTCGTTTCTCTTCGCTTCTTCCTCTACGTCTCTCTGATTGTCTTTAATGACCAACGATTGTATAAAGTATACGTATTCGAAATCCATTCTCATATTTGATTTATTTAATTCGATTATTCACCAACGTGAATTATGTCGATGATTATATACAAAGCTAACCTACATATATATTTCAATAAAAATCATTCGTACGATCAACTTGTAGACAGATATAGGGCTATGAAAATTTCAACATAGAGCACACGATATCAAGTCATCTAGACTAGTGGCTACATTACAAGTTGGTCGACAGAATTAGATCTACACTAAGAAGGATCTGATACTATCTAATTATTAATTAATTGTAAATTTCTACTTGTTTCCATATATATGTCAAGTTAAATAGTTTTCTTTTAGAATATCTACATGTTAATTTCATTAAATTAATAGATCATTAATATATAACATGGTTATATAATATTGTTCTATTAATTTCTTATTAAACCAGATGTTTCATTAATTACTTACTAACTTACTCCTCCTGCCGGGTAAAGGAGGAGGGTTGGGTATGGGGTTAGCGACCCTATCCTGTAGAAAACCAACTCGCAGATGTTTTATTGCTTCTAGATAAATCTGTGAACCATTTTATAAATAAATAAATCAATATTTAGTTGCCTAGATGGACCTTTTTTTTAATTTTTTTTAAAAAAACAAAAAAAATCGAATAGTGTAATTTAAGCATACACCATTATCACTAAGTATTTATCCAGATTGTCATATTCAATTTTTTTGTTCTTTTAATTTACTAAACTGTGAATGAATAAAAAAATGAAACCCCTAAAG